TAAGGCAAGGCAATACAGAGAGGGCAGAATCAAGAAGCTAGCTGTTAGAATAATCTTGGAAAAAAGATGTTGAGTAATGACCTCTAAGCCAAGCATAATTTAGAGACAATATTTGAAAGCTCACCTGGAGGACCCACAACTTCTTTAGATTAGAATGTTTAGGATAAAATGACTGAAGGCAAACATAATTTTAGGAAATTCGATAAGCTTATACTAGTAGGAGTTGTATTTTTACTAACAGGTTAATTTTTCGTCAATTAAGCAATCTACAAATAAACATCTGCAGAGTAAAATTTTGAAGCAGACATATGAAAGACAAAAACTATAAAAGATATACTTTCTGAATCACAAATAAATATAAAGAGTAAGAGCAGCATATGACATATTTTTGCATTAGCTTTTTCCCCCCTCTGAATAGGCAAGCCCTGATTTTTTACTGTCATTTAAGCATTCGTTTACTAAAATAACAGCATTTCATTAAGCAAGACTAATCCCTGAGCGCATTACCTTAGCCCATTAGCTGTTAGACAGTCATTAATTCTTGTGACATGTCCTGGGATGAGATCATTACTGTTATCATTATTATTTTTTATTAAGTTCATTTTCAGAAAAAAATCTACACAGTTTTAACACTGGATATTTTCTTTTTGAATCATGTTTTTGATATTTGATAAAAGCATATGTTGGAGGAAAGGTAGCCTAGTCAGCAAGTGATGTTGGGAAGACTGGGTAACTATTTGCAGAAGGTTAAAACTGGACCCATATCTCTCATAATGTACTAAATTAAAATAAAAATGGATCAAAGATCTAGACTTTAAAATAGAAACCTTAAACCTACTGGAAGACAAAGTAGGTAAAACTCTTGAAGCCATATGTGTAGAAAATGATTTTCTAAACAGAACCACAATTGCATATGAAACAACAGCAAGAATCAATAAATGGGATTATATCAGACTGAAAAGCTTCTATACAGCAAAAGAATCAGAGTGAAGAGACAGTCTACACAGTGGGAAAAAAAATCTGCCAGCTACTGATCAGACAGAGGACTTATATCTAGAATATACAAAGAACTCAAAAAATTAAACCACCTAAAATTAAAGAACAGTCAAAAAATAGGCTAGTGAAATGAACCGACACTTTAAGAGAGAAAGAAGTACAAATGGCTAACAAATATGTGAAAAAATGTTCAACATAGCTGGTTATTAAAGAGATGCAAATGAAAACAATGCTAAGATTTCATCTTACTCCAGAAAGAATGGCAATCATCCAGAAAATTTTTAAAAAAATTCTGGCATGGCTGTGGTGAAAAAGGAACCTTCCTACATTGTTGGTGGGAATGTAAACTAGTACAACCATTATGGTAATCAGTATATTTAGTTCTCAAAGAACTAAAATTTGAAATTCCGTATGATTCAGCTATCACCCTTTTAGATAACTTCCCTAAAGAGCTTCAGACATATTACAGTGATACATGCGTACCCACATTTACAGGAGCACAATTTATGATAGTTAAATACTGGAAGTAGCCTGTATATCCATCCACAGATGATTGATAAAGAAAAGTGGTAACTATATTTAGTGGAATACTACTCAGCTATTAAGAAGGGGTGAGGCATTTGTAGGAAAATGGATGCACTTGGAAAATATAATGTTGAGTGAAATCAATCAGACTCACAAGTTTGACTATCATATGGTATCCCTCATTGCAGTAAGGCACAGCACAAACTAAGGGAAAAATGAAGGAAGGGTAGAAGCAGACAAGGGGATGGATCTCTTGCAGAGGGGAGGGAATCCATGGGACCAAGGCTGAGGGAGGTGAGGTGGGATGGAAAAATGAGTGCAGTGAAGATATGCCAGGTACGTGGGCCTAATGACCTCAATGAATGTGGGCATTATATGCCATGAGAATGAACTAAGGTTAATCATATCAACAAGAATGAAAAGGGAGAAAAGGGAATTAATTAGAGGAGGGAAATTAAAAAAAAAGAAACAAGCTGTATTTTGTACATGTACCAACTCTCCAAGAAGATTGCAAAGTGTATGTACTGTAGACATGTACTGATAAATAAAAAAATATCTTTAGGGCAGTGATTGGATGTTGATTCATTCACTCAAGGGCGTCACAGACCCTGTAGCCAGCACTGAAGTGAATTAAAATTCTTGTTTAATTGACATAGCTTAACAATAAATTAGAAAAAGCTTGCAACAGTATCACAGTAGGATATTTGGGGTTCTCTGTAAGATGTGTGAAATTGTCTCTGAGGATCATGTGACTGAAGGGTGGCCTCTTGGGGCCAGGATTTTACAAAGGCTCTGAATCTGGCATTTCTCATTTATAAGAATTGTTGCCACTGATGAATATGGTGGTTGTTTAGTCACAGCCCTGCAAAAGGAAAAGCCTTGCTTGACTCTAATGGAAAGAGCAGATGTCACAGGAAAAAAGTAGCAAACGTCAAAGTGAGGCAGAGTTCATTTCCACTTCTCTCTCTTAGAATTAGACAAGAGAGGGCTTGGGGTAGAGTTCAGTGGTAGACCATTTGTCTTACATCCTTGCAACTCTGGGTTTGATCCCAACCACAGGAAAAAACAATTACAGACAGGAAAAAAATTCATAAAACCACTGTGAAAATTATACACAATCTTGAAAGGTAGCTGAAAGGGGCTTAAAAACTTTAGGCTGCCCAATAAAAATAGAAATTGATATTATAGATCCCATGGACTATAAATGAAGAATACAAATGGTTTGGGCAGAAAAACAGTTCTGACATGTTTGGATGCCAGAGATTTTTAAAGTTGATCTCTTTTGGCCTGGTAAGATTTTATGCATTTTTGTCGTTCCAGCCAAGAGGTCTAAGGATTAGTGGATGTTTCTGCCAGCCTGGAACTCATGTGGTGGAAAGAATGTACTCATATGACAGTGAAAAAGTGAATGCATACACACAAAGGGCTTCCTTTCAAGAAAGGGATAAAAATTAATTATCATTGTAATCTGGGCCCAGGGCTTCAAAATAATAGTAATTTATGTAAATTAGAAATTTCTGTTTATGTGTCCAACACACGGCCGTTTTCATCTCAGAATTGCTTCTCTAATGCTACCTGGTTTCCAGAATCAGTTAGGGCTTAATTGCTAAATTGCTCAGAATAGGCTCTAAAACCTATTCTAAATTGGTTTATGTGGATGGGGGAACTCTAGCTCTTTATTAAAATAATTATGAATTAGGAGCTCTTTGCTCATTTAGATACTAATTTTCGATGGACTAGTAACATATCAGCTTTTAAAAACCTGCATTTTTTATTGATAAAAAGGAAAATATATTTATCAAATAGCTCAGAAACAGTCAGTGGAGAAAAGGAAAGCAGACAGAAGTTTCTTCCATTTCCACTGTTTTGTTAAATATTTGCCTTGAAGCCAAAATAATGCTAGTTAGATGTAGGGATTGTAAGTCCTATTAACAATGGACTTTTCCTTACATAGATATGTTTTTGCAATTTTCCTAGATTTTTGCTCCAGGGTCACATGCTAAGTCAATAGTAGTTATAAACCTCTCAGTGCTGTGATCAATACCTCTGTCTGATGTAATCTAGACCTCTGGTGTAATTTACAACAAAGGACAGTTTGGGTAAGCCTATTTTATTACTTTCAATTCACCAAGTGAAATATTTCACTGCTCTATGACTGAAGTTCTTTCTAGTTTTTTGATAAGGAATTGAGGCAGTTCTGAAAGAAAAGGTCAAGTATGAAAAGGGAAAACAGCAATAAGTGTTTCTTCCTTTGAGAGTAATACTTGCATATCTTTCAATGTCCTGAGATTGTCCCAAGAATGAATTGTGTCTGTATAACTACTTGTGTGTCATCAGGATGGATGAGAATGTATACACAGCATGATCAACAATGCAAGATTTCAGCATTCAAACATGTATTTTTATAAGTTTTATATCATGTCTCTTATTTCTTTAAGATGAAATCTGTCCCGTAGACCAGAAAGTAAAAATATGTCTGCATCAGAAAGTGAAAAATTAATTTCCACAGGCAATTAAAAATTCAAAACATCAAGCAAAATTTTGCAGAAGAATATCTTTTTATTCCTCTTTTCCCAGGAGGTTCCCAATTCCCTGCCCTGGGTCAGTGCCTGCTATTATATTGGCAATAACCTTTTCCATGGCGGTTTAAAATGATTGAGGGTTTGAGACTGCTAATGAAGTTTTGCAATTATTTGAGAACTTGCCACATGTTAGATACTGGGGATATAAAGATGGCAGGTTCTTATCTTTATGAGGCACAGAGTGATTGAACTGTCTATGTAAATGCATCTGTTATCTGGGAAGGAGTGTGGTTGGGTACAGAGATAGAACTACCAGTATATCAGCCCCTACTGTATTTTTGTAGGCATCATTTAAAAATCAGATTTCCCCACAGTGCTATATAATTCTTAGATGGCTCAAATATCACCTTTATTTTCTTTACCATTTAAATGTAGAGATAACCTGAAAGTTGTTCCTCTGGTATCTGAGGGCTCAGAAGGGTGAACATGAGTGTTGATGGAAACGACAGCTTTGAGGAGGCAAGAAAGCCACCTCTTTCCATCCCCCGCTCCCAGTATCCACCTCTGTGGCCACAGTGGGCTTACAACACCATTGTCATATCTTTTGCTGCAAGCATCACTGTCCTATCTTCTGCACCACTCTCATCTTTTGCTTCTGTCACATCTTACTGGAGAACAGCACTATGCTAAAATAGGAACCAGGTGCTGTAGCAGTTGAAATATTGTCAGAACATTGCAGGTAATTCTGCAACTCAGTGAAACCACTCTTAGAAAGACAGAGACTCTGAAGAATTCAGGGAGCCAAGTTCCTTTAGCTGCAGTCCATGCATTAGCTTGACTAAGCCTCTCATCTATGGATGAGCTCAATGCAGCCAGGTGAAATCAATCTCCAGGCTTCCTTTGTCATTATGTAAATGAAGTAGGTAATCAAGCATGACTAGTAATAAACCGCTCTCGGTATACAAGATGTTACATCACTTTATTTTAACTGTATGATTTATCAGAACAACAACTATGAACATACAAAGTACCATTCAGCTGAACTGCAAGTATAGGCAGTGACAAGTATCTAATTTTCAGAAGAATCACTTATTCCCACAATGTTTTCAGGCACATTAACCTAAGGACAATTTCATAAATAGCAAACACGATTTTCACATTGCAGCTTTCTCAAGCATGTATATACAGGTGTGCAGTCCTGTTGGTGGGTTGTTTCCACAAGCTCTTTGTCTTGCTAACATTCATTGTCTTGACCTTATACAGAGTGTTACCTCTCTGCACAGCAGATTGTTTTTGGTCATTCATCACTTACAGTACTTTGTGAATTACTATTACTCTTCACATTAATGAAGTAGTACTGTCTGAATCAAAGTATCTTCATAGCACAATTCCTCTTGTCTTCTGGCAAGTCTTACCATTGTCAAAGGGCTTTCAGTTGCAATTATTTTCCTGAAACTGCAGCCAAACTCAACTATTGGGTTTCAGTGTAACACACCCTTGTTGTAGCTTGCTCTATGAACCTTTGGCTTCAAGTCCTGCTGATGTAATGAGGGTGGGGTGTACTGGCAATCAGTATGCTTCCTTATCACTATTTACAGCCATTTACAATCATGCTGTTATGAATCCGAGTCTGACATACCTTTTCTGAAATGTTCACAGTGCAGTATTTTTGTGGCCTAACAAAATTTTTCGTGTATCATTAAAAATAAACATTTTTATAAAAATATAATACTTTCAATGTTCACATCGACAAAACCAGCTAGAGTAACCTATGCCAATGCACTATACAGTAGTCAGCACAAATTCTATAGCACAAAACATCACAAAAGTCCTGCCCACAATAACTATTCATCCAAGTGAAATAGCCAGGATTTTCAATTGCCTTGTTTATTTTTTTACTGGTTTCTAGAATGTATTTTGCTGAACAGAAAACAAGTCATAACGTGAAACTGGACTCCCCAGAAGTCCTTTTTCCCAATAGTTTGTGAAGTGGGAAGCTGTCACCTGAGAAAGAGGTTAATATTTCCAGTCCATTAATCTCTTTGTTCTACATACTAGCCATGATTGGAACCAATGAACTTCTTAGTCAATTGTATTCTGCTTTAAAAACATACCGACTTATCTTTAAAAAATTTGTCATCACAAATTACTTGTCTATCTTCAGAACTATCATAAAAATACAGATAAAATTTCTAAATGTCCACATTCATAACATCAGAACAGTATCATTCTCAAACAGTTGGTTTTTCAATGACAACTAAATATTTCATTGTTACTAAGCTATTTTATGAAAATTTCTTAACATCCTCTACCTACAACATATAAATATCCCGGTTAATTTGTAAACACATCTTGTGTGCATGCTATTTTGAAACTTGACTGCATCACCTATGGATACTTTCCAACCAAAGGAATGTGTATATGACAATTTAAAAGGGAATGTTTGCCTATGGGCAAATGACGACATCAGTAATGAAAAATGTTTGTGACCAACATAGCACATAAAAGCTCTCTGAAAACACTGAAATTCTGAATGAGTGGCCTGGGCCTGGGGCTGCCATGCCTGTCCTGGACAAGACCATCTCTTTGGAATTTTCTGTGATTAAGGAGCCGTCAAAATTCACTGCATCAGTTCCTCATATGAAGTCAAGCGGGACTCTGATTTTTAAAACTTTCAACCCAGAATTCTGGTTTTGGACTCCAATGTTACAGGAGTGTTGTCATGGCTGCAGGGTTGTCCATGGTCACTGGCCTGTGGAAACAAGCCTCTGGTTCTCATGTTTTGTCAGAGGACAAATTCCTTAGAATCCAGCAATTTAAATAACAGTACAAAGTCCAGTACTGGTGTAATTTTGACAACCAAAAGGTATCTAATGGCCTTTTGGAAGCCAGGCAGAGAAAACTTTTGTAGAAAGGTGGATTGTTGTTTGGGCTAGTACTACGATGTTTCTCAGAAAGGACAGGTGGGGTTCCCATCATCACGTGTCCATGTTACCATCAATGTTTTCTTGTGAGGACAACAGAGAAGGATACGGAGCAACACATTTTACATTGACGTAAGTAGCATTTACATGGACGTAGTGCTCCCCAATGAAAGTGGAAAAGATGGCTGATATCCTGGAGACGAGCTCAGAAAAGGATGGGCGCATTTCAGCTTTGGGGTGCCAGCATTTTAGCATCACTTCGTACCTGTTTCAGAAAGAAATGGTATGAGAGGTTCCCTGAATGCAAATACTTCTGACAAAGAAATGAACATGAAAGACCAGAAGATCCTGTGGGGATTCCTACTTACAAGGGATCTGGGCAGTATTCTGGTTGTAAGAGCCTTCTGCCTTGCAACAAGTAAACTGTGATATCAAAAGTGTTCACATCAGGATAAGGGGGGGCTCCTCTTGTCATCAGCTCCCACAGAAGCACACCAAAGGACCACTAGTAAACAAGAAAAAGGAGAACCACGGTGAGAGAAGTGTGACCACACACATGTGAGAGGAAATCAGTAGGTCCTGGTAATTAAATTTGGCTTAACATATTCAATACTATTGCTGTTTGGGTGAAAATTTTCTTAAAGGTGATTATTAAGCTATACATTTCATGACCTATTTAAAACAGAATCAGATATTGTTTAGATTACAAGTAAATGTAGTTTTCAAGAAGAATATCTGAGGTTACACGATGATTAAAACTTCATCTGCAGTTTGCAGAGTATATTTTCTAAGCTCTCTCTTGAAGGATCAAAGCCCCAATATGTTTCTATCCCTCTCTCTTTCAGTATCTTCCCTATAATTTTAACTATTAGTAAAAGAGCAAGATAAAGCCTTCCAGAGTTTAAATTTTTGGGATTTCAAAATGAATGTAAACACTTTTAAAGAAACATAACCACATCTAAATGTTTATGTCAGTAGGGAAATTTTATATTAAATATCAGAAATAATAAAACTGCTGGGGAGCAAAGTTCCACAGTGAAAAGTCATTTCAATTAAACTGTAATTTGAAAATGTTAAATTATTAGACTAATATAAAACAGCTGTGTCAGTACTTTAACAGAGGATCACAAAGATGTAGAGGTTAAGTGACTTGCTAAAATTCCTCAGTATATCTGAATTCACATTGGAATAAATATTTAAGAATTCTTGACCCTTGGGTCTTGCTGGTTCTACTGAACTTCACTAAATATGCAGTCTCCTGATTTAAAGCATTGCTTAGAATAGATCAGATCATACATATCATCTCCCCCTGAACATATGCCAAAGACAGCAGGACGCAAGGAGAGTTAGCATGTACAAGTCACCCAGGCAGAGAACATGGGAAGTCAATTCTTGCTGGGTGACACCTTCCCAGTCACTCTCAGGCTAAGAAGCATATGGGGGAAGACATGAACCTCTGAAAATAATGAAACTTGGAGAGGAAAGAGAGTCCAGATCAGATAGGTGGACTAGGAAAACATAAAACGAGATGCAAATGTAACTTAAAATACTCAGCAAGAAGGAGAATAATGCATGCCTTTGAACACTGAGATGGAAAGAAAGAACGAGGTAAATATGGTTGTTGCTGACACATTATTGGCTCTTTCCCTTTGCCCAAGTGCATGAGCCCTTTAAGGCCACTGTCTTGACCCAAATGACTATCTAATTTGGCCTTTCAAAATGGAATTTTTCATAGCCTAAAAGTCTTACAGGCCATTCTGTTAACTTTATTGTGTTAACTTTCAAGTTCCAGAATTTGCATTAAAATTTAAATCAACTTAACAGGTATCTATTTATCTTTGATCATGTATAATAAGTTACTATCCAAATTACCAGACAGGTCCCAGGGATGATTAAACAAGGTTAAGAGAATTGTGTAGATAACTTTCACACAGAACAATAAGATAATAACTACAATATAGATCAATAAAATAAAAGAGGTGGAAATGTGAAAAGTCAGAGATAACAGTGGCTTACTAAGAAAGGGTTCAGGAAGAATGACAGGAAAGCAGGTCCCGAGGAACAGGGAAAATTTGTTTTATAGGTATGTGAAGCATGAGGACAGAAAGCATTCCAGATGGAGGAAGTGGGCCTAGGGCACATATGTATTTTCCTTGAACCACAAGTACCGGAGGTCTGCTGCTCACGTGTGGAATATGTGAGGGATCTACAGGTAAGTAAGGTTGAAATGGAACCTCTTGGTGGAGTTTTCCAAACGTTGAAACTGGGCTAAACTGAAATTGATGGGACATGACAGAATTGTGCTGCTGGAGACTGCATCTGTGAACATCATGCTTAAGACAAAAAGGAAAAACTGGTTCACATTATGGAGACGAATTAGGGTATTTTTGAATTACAGGCAGAGAGTGTGACAGCGTACTGGCAACATGGAAGCCTGTGGAGCTTTACTGCTAAATTAGGGAGGTGGAAGAAAGTATTTGTCATGTGTTGAAGGATATGAGGACATCATATCCTTTATAAACCGTTATCTTATTTAATCCTTATCACGGATTTCAATCGGTTGGTTACACCCTTGTAACATAACTTCTTTTGCGGATGACAGGTTGAACAGCACTGTGATCAAGGCCCACCCCCTAACAGACAGCCTTAGGATATGTATAGGTTTGTCTAGGACAAATTTACTAAAAAGGGGAGCAGAGTTGGGTAAATCCCTGAGGAATTAGGACTGGGGCAATAATTGAGTATCAGTGGAGAGAGTTGGAAGACTCATGAATAGGAGCTGCTAGAGGGAGGAAGCTTCCAGGAAAAACATTGTGATGGGCTAGATTGATATATTTGCAAAACTCGTCTGACAAGACAGAACTGTATCTAGATAGTTAATTAATTGCTCATAATTTAAGAAAATACTAGCAAAACCATCCATTAAAATTAATTGTAAAATTTAACAACAAAAGAAGGCAAATGGTCTTAGTACACACTTCACAAAGAAGATATAAGGATGGCAAATAAGCACATAAAAAGGTGCTTAACATCATTAGTCTTTAGGGAAATAAAAATTAAAAAGAAAGTGAGATACCACCACAATCTATTAGCACAGCTAAAACCACCAAAAGCTGACAATGCCAAGAGCTGATGAGGATGTCAAATGACTGAGGCTCTAGCGTATTACTATAGGGACATTAAGATGATACAGCCACTTTGAAAACTTGCCAGTTTCTCATAAAGTTGAACATACACTTATTTTACAACCTCAAAATCTTAAGTATTTACCCAAAGGAATAAAAAACATGTTTACACAAAACTTTTAAGCAAATGTCTCAGCAGTTATAATTATGAGAAGTAGTTGCTTAAAAATGGAAAGAACCCAGTTATCCTTCAACTGGTGAATGAATAAAGTAAATGTAGTATATTTATACAATGGAATACTCAAAAAAAAAAAAAGGAAATGAATTAATCCATTAAGGAAAACAGTATTGCAGTTCCTCCAAAAAGCTGAAAATAGAACTACCATGGCATCCAGCAATCTCTTTTCTGAGTAGATATACAAAAAAATTGAAAACAGAATATCTCAAAGAATGTGCACATCCATGTTCAGTGCAGTACTACTCACAATAGATAACAGGTGGAAGAAACCTAAATGCCCATTATCAGAAGAGTGGATAAAGAAAATTTGGTTTATACATACAATACAATATTAGCCTTTAATAACAAGGAAATTTTGTCATGTGCTATAGCATGGGTAAACCTTGGCAACATTATGCTAAGAGAAACAAGTCAGCCACAAAAGAAATACTCCATTATGCACCTTATATGAGGTATCTACCATTCAACTCAGACAGAATGTAGAATGGTGACTGCCAGAGGGTGGAGGAAGAGGAAGAGGAGAATTGCTGGTCATTGTATATTGAGTTTCAGTTTTGCAAGAAGAAAAGAAAAAAGTTCTAGAGATCTATCGCATAAGATGCACACAGCTAATAACTGTACTGTAGACTTAAAATGCATACTACTGACATGGCAAGATGGGTGGCTCTCAAATCCATTATGGGAAGTGAAAGGAAAAAGATGTAAAAGGCTAGTATTGTATGACTCCATTTATATGACATTCTGAAAAAAAACTATAGAGACAAAACAAACCAGTGATTTCCAGGTTGTGAGCACAGGGTAGAGGTGGACTATGAAAGGACACAAGCAAGTGTTTTGGATAATAGAACTGCTTTACATCTGGATTGTGGTGGTGACATAATTGCATGCATTTGTAGAAACCTTAAGAACTGTACACTAAACGGGGTGACAGCTAGGTAAAATGCACAATGATGATGCCATTAAATAACTTGTAAAAATCAGGAGCTAAGGAGTTTCCAATTTAGTGGAAAAGACTTTGATTTTGAACATAGCAAATCTGTGATGCTGATGATGACTTCCAGAGAGAGAGGTCAAAGGTGACTTCTTGATGCCAATGGTTCTAATTGTTGAGGGAGTTTGACCCCTGAAGACAAACATCCTAGAGGATAGCCTCAGTTAGCAGGTAAGAGAATGAAGAGAACTGTCAGGATAAAGAAAACAACTGGGAAGCAGGAGGAAAATCAGATGGTACAGTGCCCAGAAACCCAAAAGAAGAGCAAACTTCAAGAAAGAAAGGATGGTCAACAATGTTAATGCTTCAGAGAGCTGAGGTAGCATGAATGCTGACAAAAGCCATCTGGATTGAACAACTGAAGTCAATATAGACTTCTGAGAAGTCACGTACTGAACGTGAAACACCACACAATGTTGGGTATTAGTAACTTCCAGTTTGGTTTGAATGTACCCGAAGAGTATCGAGCTTAGCTAAATGTCACTGGGCATTTGCTAGAAAAAAAACCTATCTAGAAGCAGGCACATTTTTGCTTGTAAGTCTCAATGTACATACGGTTCATTATATGCTTTTGAAAATGTTCCATGCTAACATTCAAAAGACTGTGCTGCCTTTGAAGTGAAACTTTGTGCAAAGTTATCCATGCAGTCAGTAATCACTTGCCAAAGCAGCACTGTACATGATTACTCAGGTCCAGCCAGTACAGTGTCTTGCAGTGAGAGGGAGAGAGAAACAGCACTGTCATATCTACAGTCAATTATCTGAGTATTGCATTGCTCCCCAGAGTGTGTGCATATGTGTGTGTTGAGGAGGTACTGGACGTGGTGTGTGTGAGTGTGTGTGTGTGTGTGTGTGTATCTACCTGTCTGTTAAGAATCCCAATTCCGGCCTTAAACACCCAAAATTTCATTAGGCTCTGTTTTTAAAACAGCTTTGCTACTGTACAACTTACAGAATATAAAATTTACCACTTAAAAGTGTATACATTTATGCTTAGTAAATATATATAGTTTGCATGTATCATTGCAATTTAGTTTTAGATTGATATTCCAGAAAGTTCTTTGATGCCCCTTTGTAGTAAATCCTCACTTCCATTCTTAGCCCCAGGCAATCACTGATTTGTTTTCTGTGTCTGTAGTTCTACTGCTTTCTAGAAATTTCATGTAAATGGAATCATTCAACATGTAATCACTTGAGTCTGACTTTTTTCACGTTTGTGAGGTTTATCCATGCTATAGCATGTGTCAGTAGTTCCTTTATGTTGTGGGATGGCATCATTCTATCTTACAGATACACCAAATTTTGATTGTCCATTCACCAGTTTATGGACATTAGGACTGTTCCTGTTTTTGGCTATTATGACTAACACTACTATGATTGCTCACATGCAAGTCTTCCTGTGGGCATGTTTTCATTTCACATGCTTATTAGCTGGCTATTCAAACATCTCTGTAAAATATCTATTCAAATCTCCTTTTGTTTTTAGTATTACTGGGAATTGAACCCAGGGCCTCCACACTGAGCTCATGCTCAGCCCTTTTTAATTCTGAGAAAGGGTCTCACTAAGCTGTGCAAGCTGGTCCCAAACTTGTAGTCCTCCTGTCTCAATGTGCAAAGTGTTGGGATTAAGGCATGTGTCACCAGGCCCAGCCGACTTCGAAATTAAGGACAGACTGGGAATCAGGAATCATGTCTGAATGAACAGGATTCCTTCTACCTTCTGCCTTTACCTGCCACCAGAGCTAACACATCCCCTTCTTCCTTCTGTAGTACTCACTTCCATCATCTCTTTCAGAATCTTTCTGTACCAAAATCCCAGGGACTAAACTCTACCACAGACTGCAACTTTTTTCATCAAATACATTTGGAAGTGCCATTCTTCTATGATGACCTGTGATGTGCTTGTTTATTGAAAAAAAAATCTGCCAGTCACCTCCATTTACTCTCTGATGTTTCCTCCACCTCCTTACAGGATCTGAAACTGTCTCACTAGAAGATCACAGTGTATTTGACTTACTGGTAGGGCCACTCCTCTTCCCCTGGCTGACTCAGCAGGAGGGGAGTGATGACTTCTCACTTCCCAATACCGCACTCAACTATCTGTCATCTCTCATTAGCTGTCACCCTTTCACTTTTGAAGTTCTTTTCTCTCCAAACATTATTAACTTACTTCCTGATATCATGGGTTTGCACTTTTTTATTTCTCAGTTGTCATCTTCAATGACTCAAACATCGAATGTTTCTGTACCTGCAGACCAAGTATAGTCTCCATTCCATCCAACACGCTTGATACGAAGACCTTCAAGTCACTGAAGTTCCTCAGCTTCCAAGACCCTGCACCAGAAGTGCAATGAGAGCAGTGGGCCTGCTGACCATCCTATTTCTTCCTGAAATTTTTTTTCCTCTGGCTTTCATGGCAGTCTCTTCTCCTGGGTCTGCTACAACTCTGCAATTCTCCCTCATTTTATATAGCAGATTCTTCCGAGTAATTATTTTGGGACCCTTAAGAGCACATCCCAGACTTGACTTCTGCTATGTCATTTAGTTTGGAGCTAAAGACCTTCGAAAGGTAATTAGGTTTAGATGAGGTCATGAGGGTGAAGCTCTCGTGATGGGTAAGTACCTTCATAAGAAGAGATATGGGAAAGTTTGTCTGTATTCTCTCTTGACCACATGGGGACATGGTGAGAAGGTGGCCATCTATAAACCAGGAAGAGGGCCTCAACAGAACTTGACCGTGCTGGCACCCCAATCTTGGATTCCTAGCCTCCAGAACTGTTAGAAATAAATTTCTGTTGTTGAGGCTACCCAGTTTTTTGTTTTGTTTTGTTTTGTTATGCCAGCATGGCATTCCATATCACAAGTGTTAGTCACATTAGCTGACTAATGCAATCTTTTTGAAAACAAAATAAAAAAAGTTGCATATCCTCTCTTCCAAGTGCCTGATAAATTTGGCAGGCTTACTCCCAACTCAAACTCATTGTGTTCAGAGCTCAACTTGTTTTTATTCTGACTCCAGGTTTTGCTTCTTTTTCACATATCTGTTGCTGCACCAGCTTATAACTTTGCTCATCTTTGACTTCTACTAATTCTTGCCAAATACTGTTGATTCTACCTCTGAAATGCCTTTCCTTCCACCTCTTCCTTTCCATTGTCATTGGTTCTCTATTATTTCACATTATATTTCTCATGTCATCTTCCTGCCTCCACATCTCTCAAGCCGTCTTACAGAATGAATAAAGACTACAATCTAATTTGATTACGTTTGTGTTTTCACATGGACAGACCCTCTGCTTTGGTTTTTAAGAAACTTCATGATCTAGTATGAAGACATTTTTCTCAATTTATTCTCATGGCTTCCCCATGTGGTCTCCATTCTCTCCAAATCTCTAATTAAGAACTATTTCCTTAGAATTTTTTTTTTTTCAGTACTGGGGATCAAACTCAGGACCTTGCACTTGCAAGGCAGGTGCTGTGTCACTGAGCTAAATCCCCAGCCCTAGAATTTTAAAGATATTTATACTTCCCTGTACTTTTGCCTCATCTGGACCCATATTTCCATTCACCCAGCTGCCCAGTTCCAAACCTGTTGTCCTTTAGGGCCCATTCTAGGTCCCACTACCTCCATTAGGTGTGAGGGGGATGTAGCAAAGCTGGGTGCCAGCTAAGCATCTTGTGCATGCTCAACACTCAGCGGCATGCCTTTTTAAGCTTGTTCTCTGACAGGTACATGGCCTCTGCACATAAAGAAGGGCATCTTTCAAGCCAGGTGCAAGGACCATGTCCTCAGTTCCAGCTTCAAGATGCCTCTAGGTGGAATTCTTAGCACCAAAGGGCTATGAGAGGCAGTGGTAATCCCAGACAACACTTCCTCATAAGGTGCCAGCATCATGTTCCATACTACAAGTGTTTCTGACTAGACAAGCGGATTTATAAAAATATACTATAGGACTAATGTCAGTCTTATATATAAAGATAACTGAATGAGTGGTGTTGAATCCTCTTACAAATCAAAATGCCATGAAATTATAGGTATGAATAAAAAAGAGAAATTCAAGAAATAATCAATATATTACCACATCTGATTTGGTGGTAAACTTCTGAGTTTGTAGACTTTCTAAAGCCATCCACTTCACTGGCAGCTTTGCACCTGTTTTGTTGTGTACACTGTAGTATTCTTTATCATACATGTCTCTGGCAAGACCAAAGTCAGCAACCTTGACAGTGAATTTTTCATCCAACCTACAGAAAGAACACAAATTATTACTGGTGACTGGAATAGAATAATTTACAATGGTGTTGTATATCTATAGATCAGAACAAGTGGCACCGATATTTGAAATCCCTAACTTCTGAAGGGAGTGTTTCCTCTGGCCTATTGACTAACACTAAATTACCACAGAATTCTTGAGTAAAAGTGCTTGACATTTACATTACTAATTCAACAGGCTAAGGAGTGAGATCTGAGTGATATGGCATACAAACGTCATTTTTGCTTTAATGTAGATCTGGAGAAGAAGTAAAGCTGGCTCCCTCTCAGCTTTCCTTGGTTGCTAAATACAGCATGTCAACCGACTACCCACTGCAGTCACCAGTATTTACTTGTCAATATGCAGTTTCATGGGAGAGACATGACACGGGACTATTGTTTTAGTTTTTATTTTCAAACAGGGTAGGTCAGGACATAAAACCCATATCCCACCACTGAGGTAACAGAGAAACAGGTTACACAGCAAAGCATCTCAGAAAACAATGAGGTTCTGTTACCTGGGCTATGTATTCTGTGCTTAAGTGGCTTTTATGGTGTTACACCGACCAAAACCAAGGTAGAAAATTAATAGCACAGTTCTTCCATTCACACATGTCATAAATCATGAATCTGTGTTGGTCAGGGAAAGCTCTGAATTACAAACTGTTGACTGTTGTGTTATACAGCCAAGGAGCCAGACACAAATAAAAGTTCTTTGTATATTCATTCCCAGATAACCATGTTTGGTAGGGCTTCTGCAGGCTGACTTCAAATGGACTCTTGGGAAGTTACATTATATTGGTATCTGTGTTACCAGCCCTCTCCTTTCCACTATAAAATGCTGAAGATCAAATTCTTCCTTCCAAACACTAATGCAGTGTGAAACCACAACACTGGGGGCTGCTGGTGGGAAGGACCAAGAAACACAAAAGTACACAACAGCTGTTTAAGACCCCCTAAAGAGCAACCTTTTAAATTCTGTTTGATAAAGGCTAAAAGCCAGCCTACATGCCCAGGGCTTACACATCCATTTAAAACAGTAAAGGAAATAAAGGATTTTTGCATAAGAAAAGAAAACATCCTGGCTTCAGCAGTGGGAAACAAACGCTTGTCAATTAATGTGAGTTGTGGGCACACAGATTCTCATACTTACATACAGTTTCTTGCAGCCAAGTCTCTGTGGACAAACTTTTTGCTTGCAAGATATTTCATGCCCTTGGCTACTTGAAGACCAAAGCCTATAAGATCTTTTACAGTCGGGTTCTGCAAACAAAGAGAGTTGGAAAAGTATAAACTAAGCTGCTTAAAACCCACTGTTCTAACTCTGATCTCAGAACCCCGAAATGTTTAAAAAAATCATCTCGTCTCAAATAATAACTAGTCCCCCGCTGATAGCAATAACTACTTGTTAAATATCCATTGTAAGTAAAGGACTAGGCTAGATGATTTTATGAACGATGGCTAATTCTTACATATGTGTCTATAAAGCAGGTGTTACAGCCTCCATATTCCATCTGAAAAATGGAAGTGTTTTAAAAATGTAGATTTTCATGCCCCCTACCCTGCAGAACCTAGGGCCTCATGCAAGTTAGGCAAGTGGTCTACCACTGAGCTACACCCCAGCTCCAAGGTCTTATTATTCTTTGGATATGATGAGGCCAACAGATCAGGAAACAACTGCCACTGAAGACGGTTAGGTACTCACAGTTTCCAAGAGGAGGGGGAATGCCATGTCATGCAGGGTCACATGGGAAAGCACAGGAGACAGTCAGAAGGCAGAGGGAACAGGAGAGGCAGGAGGGAGGAAGCCATTGGAATTTCCATAGGAAGGAAAGGTGAGGCAGGGCAAACAGGTTTAGGTTTGGCTACTTTGGCTACTTTCTGTGAGCTGTGGGGTGTAGGGCTCTCCCTGTTGCCTGGCTGTGGAATGATTAAGGTGGGTGCACAGTGGCCAGGGGAGTGTGGGTGCTAAGGTGGTTGGTTTGCATATGAAAGGTGCATTCTGAAGGCAAGCTGTTTAGGATCTCTAGGAATTAGCCCTGGGAGCAGCAGACCCTTCAGGGTTAGCAGACTCCAGATGTCAAAGCATCAGAAACACACACAGGAGACTCAGAGAGAAGTAAATCACTCCAAACCACTCAGGTGTAAATGGTACAGTTAGGATTTTATCCCAATCTGTTGACCAGGAAAGCTGTACTGTAGTGAAATCAATCAAGGAGAAGTCCTCCTCCTGGAACTCTGCTCATGAACAGCTCATGACTCCTGAAGTTCTGGGCTAGCACAGAGACTAGGACAGCCCAATAACTATAAACCCCATCCATAGAATTGGATGGACACTTTCAATAAAGATGACGTTGTGGCTGACAGCCCTAAGGCCTGACCATCAGGAAGAGGGTATCTTTTCTTCAACAACCACTGTGGAGTTGGTGAGCAGAAGGTGCTGCCAGAGGGGACTCAGCACTAGGGGCTGCAGCCCTCCTAATGCACAGTGTGCTGAGAGGCCAGCATCTTTGTGTTTCCAGCTTTTGAAGACATATCCGTGTTAGTGGATGTCATTAGTATGGACTCCTCGGGTTATAAAAGGCCAGAGTACTATTTTCTACTGGACAATAGAGCATCTCTCGTGCTTTAACCCTGGGGAACAATACTTTAGAGAAGATAGCACATCTGAGCAGATCAACTCATCAGGGTAATGACTTAAAGCGGGGTCCATCAGAGCCGCTGTGCACTGTGCAAGGTAATGTACATTATCTGTGAAAATTCATGGTGAGGGACTTGTTTTATTCTTTTGGTTGAACATAACTTATTTTTTTAATATCCTTGAGCTTATTTTCTCTGAGAACTTGACATCATGTTTATAAAGGTGCTTTGATCAAGACTAATGCTATTCCATTGACTTCCACAGTGATCTGGACTAAGGGAACCAAGAAGGAACCTGAAACCATCGGTGAATTCAGTTCTGGGGACTCCTCCTTCCCTTCACCTTCCCTGGCCCTGGCCTGGCCAACATTTGTTCACCCTTTTGGTCCTGGCATAAATGTCACAAAGGGAAGTCCCACTTGGAAGAGCTTATAATCCTCTTTTGTAACCCTGAGTTCATTTATTTAACAAATATTTACTGAGAGCCTATGTGTTAAAAACCATTTTAAGTGGTGGAGCTACAGGAATGAACAAAATACACAAAGATCCCCACTCTCGTGAGCATTCTAATGGTATGTGTGGATACATAGATGCAGGCACATACACTGTACAGTAAAAAAGGGTATATTTGATTTATTTATCAACCCAACATATCCAAAATATTATTTCAACCTGTAACCAATATAAACCATTACTAATGAGCTATTTTACTTTGTTATACTAAATATTCAACATGTGTGATATACTCCATACTTACAGCACATTTTAATTTGAACTCATCACAGTTCACATGTGGCTTTTTGTCATAGTACCGGACAGCCCAGGCCCAGTGCATCAGATGATGATAAGTGTGATGGAGAAAAATAAAACCAAGAGCAGGAGACAGACTGAAGGCAAGAGAATGGGGGTTGGTCAGTTGCAGTTTTAAACAGATTAGGGAAGCCTCATTTTGAAGGTGACATTAGGGCAAATTGCTGAGGGAGGCGAAAGAGTGAAATGTGTGGCTATCTGGAGGGAAGAGAGGTCCAGGCAGAAGAGCAGCAAATGAAAAGGTCCTGAGGTAGGAGAGTGATTGTCATTTGTGATTAACTCTTTATTGTCTCCTGGAGTTAAAACTCCATGTGGCTGTTCTTTTCTCTGCCTCACTATCCCTAGTTTCTTGCACATAGTAAAACAATCAAAGATGATTTCAATGGACCAGTTGGGATGGTACAGCAAGGCTATTTGCTGAGCAAGTGAGAGTTATTGTCCCAGGATACCCTTCCTTCCAGGCATCACATCATCCCACCAGGACAAAAGTTTTCAAGGTACATTTGAATGGTGCCAACATTTTACACAAATGTCTCTTGCTAATAGCTTTGTAAAAGACTCAACACAGGCATCTTTTGAAGGTATGTCTGACTCGAGAATGTACTTACATGAGTCTCATTTCGAATGAAATTGCGAAGGTCTCCATGCTTCATGTATGGAAGGACCACCAGTGGAGACCCTTCACTCCGAAGGCAGATGCCCAAGAGAGAGAGAACATTGGAATGGCTGAAGTCTTTCATAATGATTCCCTCGGTCAGAAACTGGGAAACTTCTCCTATGTCAGTGATTCCTGAAAAATCCAATGGGGGAGACATTAACTTCGTTATGGAACAGGGACTGCTTTGTCCAATTTGCAAAAGAAAAGCAATGAAATGTAAAATCACAGGCCTCCACCTCAGAGTGCTCTTCCTGCAATATCATCTGAGCAATGGTGCCCTACGGGTGGAAAGGTGTGAGCGCTTTTCCTCACCTATTGCAAAGGTCACAGCCGAAACTTCTGTAACTGAAGACAGGTAAACAACAGAAAAGCCTAACAGATTTATTTAATCAGTTTTTTTATTAGTACATACATGTTTGCAGTACATACTGATTACATTTATCTTAGAAGTTGGCACAAGTACATAATATCTCTTAATTCTTTTTTTGTTCCCTACTCCTCCCATTCCTTCCTGCTCCTCCATCTCTTGGTGGCATTCCCAGTCACAAAAGCTCTATTTCCATTTTTTCTTTCAATTTTTTTGTTCATTCTCTTTTCCTCCTCTCCTTGCCACATCCTCCTTCTCTTGTCTCTGTTCCCATTTGAAAAAGATCTCCTTACTTCCTATTATATATCTTTTATTTTAATCTTTATTTATATGAGTTTCTCATTTAAGCAAAACCATGTTATATTTAAGCTTGTGTGTCTGATGTATTTCACTTAATATATGGTGTCAAGGTGCATCCATTTACCTCTGAATGCCTTAAGATTATCCTTCTTTATAGCTAAGTAGTATGTGATGGTGTCTAAATACCACATTTTCTTTATCCATTCATCTGTTGATGGGGATATGGGTTCTTTCCAAGATTTAGCTATTATAAATTGTGCTGCTATAGACATGGGTATGCATGTTATCACTGTAATATAATGACTTTAACTCTTTTGGGAAGATACCTGGAAGGGGAATAGCTGGGTCAAAAAAAAATCAAGACCTGGAAGCCTTCAGAAACAGAGATCTAATCATGCAGGGACATGATCCTTTTATGCTTGGATGTGATGAAGAATAGACAGGTATGTAGAAAGGTGACATGTGATCTAATGAAAACAGACTGAGAGGGAAACCCAGCAAGGCCCTGTGTTCTGATTCTTCTTGGCCTTCTGTGCAACATTCCTTCTTCCTGGATATTGGACAAGACTCCTTTTGCAGGAAGGGTCTTCTGAGTTACTGTCAGACAAGGTAGTTCAGAGAATTTCTTTTTGGCCAGCTCCAAAACAGAAAGACAGAGGATACTTAGAGAAATATTTTTAGATGTTATGGCTGGCTTTTTGGGGGGAAGTGGCTATAGTTTCTATGACCTACCTGCCTTGGGGAAGAGGAATTCTAGTGGGGGGAAAAGGAGAGAAGGACAGGAAATGCAGGACAAGGTCAGGAAGTGATTTGTTTCTGAGGCCTCTGCACTGTCCTTTAGAGTTCAGAGTATATGGTATGCCCAAGCACTATACTTTGAGGCAGTGTTCTCTGGGCCCCAACAATGTCACCCTGCACTGTGCCTTCAAGTCACTACCTGCACTGTTTTTGTAAGACAGAGCTCAGTAACCAGTTTATCGAACAGACCCTCAGTCTGTCTCAAACAGAAATTCTATGGTAATTGTTTAAGACACAGGCAAGCAAATTTTCTACAATGGGTTAGATAGTAAATGTTTTGGCTTTGTAGGTCACATGGTCTCTGTGAAAATATTTAACTCTGTTACTGAACCATAACTCTGTTACTGTGAAAGAAGCTATACACAGACAATAAGAGGCTGTGACTCAATAAACTTTAAAGAAACAGATGGTGGGACATAGCTGACTGGTTCATGGGCTAGGAGAATTGGAAGACCAATCATCTTATGGTACGTGAGTAGCAATTTTTTGGTGCAGTAGTTTCTAATCACTTCCAGAGAGACGTACTGAGGGCTTGATACTCGTTAGCATTAATGAAGAGTTAACAACATTAATTTATTAATTTTACTAGAATCTGTTTGGTGTTCATGATGGTGTTGGTATTCTTTTACAAATGTGATACATTCTGAGACCTGGCAAAGATACCCAAAGTCACTATGGACTGAATAGGAATCAACATACACCAACAACAGAGAAAGACTTCTTGATATTAGGACTGTTTGGAGTACAACTGTCACGTGAGGCAAATTTATTGACAATCATATTTAGTCCATCACAGTTTGCTGTTATGTTTCATATACACTGTCCTTTAATTATTTTGTGACCAGACTTCCAACAAAACTAACCATATAGAATGGTGCTCAGCATGGAGATTTATATCAAAAGAGAATGAAATAGTTCTGGCAGTAGAGCATATCTTTTAGACAAACCTTCCACTGTACATTTAAAGCTCATTAATTCTAACATAAATCTGTACTATGGCTGGCTAACATTTTTCAGGCTGCTAAAAATATAGGCACAAACATTATTGATAGGAATGCAACCTAGTACAAGTACTATGAAAATCAATATGGAGATTCCTCAAAAAACAAAAACTAAAAATTCCACTGGACCCAGTTACTCTCCTGAGTATCTTCCTGAAATAGTTAAAGGCATCATATTACAGTTATCCATGTTTGTTACAGAACAACTCAAAATAGCTAAATCTTGAAAGTAACCTATATTTTCATCACCTGATGAATCATAAAGAAAATGTTGTATAAACATAATGGAGTACTAGTCAGCCATAAAGAAGCCATGAATGTGAGTTATTGGTAAGAAAATGGATGCATCTTTAGACTATAAGGCTAGTGAAATAAATTAGACACAGAAGGCTAACTATTGCATGGTTTCTCTTGTATGAGAAACTCAAAGTGTAAATAATTGAAAGAGCAAAATAAAAGATGATGGGAAACTGGGAGATCAACTTTGTGGAAATGAGAAAGGAATCTGGGGAAGGGAGGGATGACATGGGAGAGAGGAAAGGGGAAGTAAAAAGGATTAAAATGAGATGTGTATGTGTACTAATCCTCTGCAATGAATGTGTTTATCATGTATCACAAATACATATTAATAAAGAAAAACAAAATTAGATATGAGAATAGAAAAAGGAAACTTGGGAGTTCTGTAATCAAAGGTGGAGCCAGGAATACCTCACTACGTGGAATACATTGAGTTGTATGATCTAGTAATTTATGGCTATAATTATGCTTCCGGGTTATTAATCAAGATTTAGTTTATATGCAGAAACATTCTCTGTTTCTTAGAGTATGGGTTTCATCTTGAAAAGATTTTCTAAATAATAGCCAAAAATGTAAGAAATGTTCCAGAAGTAAAAGAGGGCAAGTTTTACTCCTTTAGGAAGTTCAATTATATGGACTAACTCATTCCCCAAACATGTGGATAAATGAGGTATTACCAGACTTACAATATTTCAATTTTCTGCCAGCATATTTCTCTCCTGTTTGAATTATTTCATTTTTTAATCTTTTTTAATGGAAGTTGTGGTTGAAAAATAATTACAATAATGCCTCTGGGTAAAATGAGTCATTACTATTGTATGTGCCAACATGCTTCCAATAGTTTCCATAAATGTCATTTGTAAAACAAATATTATAAGCCCAATATAGCTAAATGATACTCAGTTCATCCAAGAACTTCATTTCTCCTACATCCTTACTAAAGAGGGCTCCGAGGGATAATTTCAGAGGGAATACTTTGATAAGAATCTAGACCAATAAGAGTTTCTTTAGATCAAACAAATTTCAGATTTAGATCCATAATTTGAACAGTAGCTGATTTTTTTCCACAAGGGACAGTGTAAATCAACATTTTGTTAAAAGCTTTTTATTAGTTTGCAAACCACAAAATTATCCTCCACTGTGAAGCAACATAATAGTAAGTAACTTACTATTCAAGGATTTCACAGCACAGTGGATTTTCTTGCTATCACTGTCCAACAAAGTCCCATGATATACACAACCAAAATGTCCTATATGAAAGAGAAAACTGGGTTAGAACTATATAATATTTAATTATGCAGTAGTTACTTATTAAGGCCTTCCTGATCTCCATGTCTTTTTTTCCATATGGCAAAAAGTACACTGTTTTAGTGCTTGCTTCAGCAGCACATATACTAAAAAATGTACACTGTTTTGATACTGTGACAATACCATTATATGTACAGTATGTGTGTTTGTGTACATATGTAAATGTAATATATTTCTCTCTAGGATATAGGCAATATTATTATTTATATATGGTAAAAACCATAGGTGATATGACTGTTATTACGCTTGATCTTAGCCAAAAGGCTGAGAAGAAATTGATATGACTGTTATTAAAGGTTAATACAATAAAATATTCAATGATAGCTGAACCACTGAAAACAGGAATTAATCTGCATAAAAGAAATTTATTATTTTTAAGGATCAAATTTGAAAATGTAGTTTTGTCCACATGAAGAAGTATAATAAAGTAAGCTTCCTATATTCCAGTAAACGAAAATGAATAATAATGTTACCATTAATAAGAAGAGTAGTATTATAGAATAAGGATTTCCCCCATTAGTCACTGGTTAACATGTAAGCCAGATTGGCAGAAATTGAAAGGCAGTTGCCCAAATGAAGCAAATTCACTGTGACTCATTGCATGCATTTCCTTCTAGCTTTAACCACATCATTTCCCCAATGGCAGCCTTTCATCCAGGGGCAGTAATTTTTCTCTGAGGTGACAAAAGTCTGCTAGCTGTGTAAGTCACTCATTAATTAATTCATCTATCCAGCCAAGATGTCCTGAGTGTCTAGTCTGTGAGTGTCAGGCATTAGGGTCCCCCCTTATAACACACAGAGGAATAAAGTAAAATCAAGGCTCATGAGTTGATTATATTTTCCTAGAGAAAAACATGTAAACAAATAGCAGTTAATATTTATAGACTGTTGATAATTATTTCTTCAACAGAGAAATAATTGCCACTTTAGTACCTTTCATAATTAAAAACCCTCTAATTTTACAATGGGTAGAAATAGAGCCTAATTAGTGAGGCTACACACTCTAAAACTGGTGCAATTACTCAGATTTATAGGCTGATAACGGAACTATTTACTACTGTGATGTAAGACATGGAAACATATTTGTGAACAATGACCCGCTCTCAGGGAGTGGCAGCATACTCAGAATTAAACTCTGGTGTGTGTGATGCAGAAATGTATGGATACTACCATAGGAGAATGAGAAGGCCTCGTGTTCACGTAAGGCAAACAATCCCATTAGTTTTTCCTGCATTACAGTGGCAGATGCCTGTACAACCTCTTGTAGTACATACAGAATAAAAGAGATCTTAGGTCATTCAGTATTAAAAGTAAAAGCATTTCAGAATAAAAAGATTGGAGTTCACTTCCTGGCTTCTGGTTGTTTTCTTTTCCTGCTAAATATTTCTTTGGATACTGTTTATATTACTGTTACTGCTCCTCTGGCTAGCTTAGTACAAATACTCATTCCTCTCTCTATAAAGACATTGGAGTGTGTTGTGGAGATGATGTATGTTGCTTCAGATTGAGGTGAATGCTATAAATTTCTTGTCTTCTGATGGTGTCCAGCAGTGTATAAGCTGCTATAAACCAGGACGTCATGGAGTTTGTCACTGTTCTCAAGGTAAAGAATGGCTGGAGAGAGATATAAGTGAAAATTTTGGAACTCAAAGGAATGATTTTATAAAGGAAGTCAATGGCATGGTCCAAGAAACTACAGTTGCTAGTCTGAGAAAGATGAAGAAGTGTTCTTATTCCTAATATATATTTGGGAAGTTATCCAATTTCCTGCCTGCACAGGGACAGGTTCCCTGGATCTGATCTTCAGGGTTGCAGTTTTGCAGACCAGAAATCAAGTACATTCATTCTTAGTGCTCTGTCAGTTGCTCTCACCATTGTCTAAATTCCTAATCTGCAAAGGCAGAAGATAAAATGCTTACTGGAAAACCGTATTTAACACAAAGCTGAGTGGAAATACTTACCTCTTCCTATGACTTCATTGAAATGCACAATCAGGCTGCTGGGCCCAATCACTACATGCTGGACCGCTTGGACCAGCTCTGGATTTAGAGCACTGAGGTCAATGTGGACCATATTTTGCAGTAATGGACTAGATATATCAGAGTCTCCACTATTTAGGATGGGGGACAGATCTGTCAGAGGATACTGTACTTGTCTGCATGATCCATTCTGAGACGAGTTAGGAAACTGGTCTGCAAGATAAAGCAAAATTACAAGAACACAATGGTGAAACCTCACTTACTGGAGACTGCAACAGGGCAGCAAACTGAATTATCAGTGAAGCTAGGATTTTAAAATTAAAGAAATGGTGATTATAACATTCAATAAAGCTAAGGATCACCTTTCACAAAAATGGTATAGTAAGTCGGGAAGAAATACCGGCATATTTTATAAAATGTTTACGATTTTCTTTTATGTAGACTGTGTTAACTTTGAAGGCTGTTTACCTTCATTTCCATACATATTTTTCTTCTTGCTAATAGCAAAATGTCATGTTGAAGTTTATTTTTGATTATGTTATATCTTTAAGAATGGGAAGCTGCAAGTTGGTCTAAAAAAGTCCAGGTCAAATGTAAGAAAGTGAAAAAGGTTCCTTTTGAAAGACTAGTATTTATTAATGGCAATAATTAGTATTATACAAATTTATATGAATTCTCAACCAAGGAAAAATATATATTGAAATATATATAATTACACACAGATTGAGTGCCTTTATCTAAAATGCTTGGAATGAGAAGTACTGTATTTCAGATTTTCTTAGATTTTGGGATAGCTGCTGGGAATTTACCCGTTGAACATCCCTGATCGGAAATGTTCAAAAGGCCAAAACTTTTTGAGAATCATACCAGCGATCATAAGTTTTGTATTTTGGAGCGTTTGGGATTTCAGGTTTTCAGGTCAGTAATGCTCAATCCATATATATAATTATATATACATAATTAGAAATACTTAGTGGTGACATTTTCAGAAATGAAAGTTTTTCACATTAGTGATAAATTCTCCATCTTATGGTGATGGCTGCGAATTTAGTGTTACTGTCATTGAGAGCAAGCAGCTTGGACCTGGGTTAGTGTACCATCCCACTGCTTAGTTGAGGGCACTTGGACAGGAGCTCCTCGTAAGCTGATCTTTACAACAAAACTCTGGGAGAGCTTCAGGCAAGATGCTTTTTTTGCTAGGAGAAGCGATTTTCCATTTCAAGGCTAAGGAACTATGGTGCTGAGAAGCTGCTTTGGCTAATGACCTGGAATCCATACGTATCAGAGGGGCATCATAATCAGGCAGCGACCGAAGAGAAACCAAGCAGGCTACTGCAGCACAGTGTGTGACATGAAAGGGGGAAGTGTATGGGAGTGTCTACTGGCACCAATAGAGGATGCTGTCTGTATGCAAATAAACAAGAGAATCTGAATTTGGAAGAAAGTTCATGGTGCCTTGATTATTTTTAACCTCATTTAAATATTTTTAGAGTTTTCCATGGTGGATGTTTGGTTAATAATAAATACTTGGCCAGAGCAGTGAATCTCAAAAGAGGTTCCAGAAAAGTCTATGGGCCATATACAATCATAGTAATCACTAACTGGAAATGAGACAGATGCAACCTTAAAGGAAGGATGCTGAATGTTAGGGGAGCACCTGAAATGTTGGGTTGGTAAAGGAAGGAAGGAAGCTTACTTAGATGCCTGATCTTCAATCCCAAGGAGTCAGGTTCTCCAAGCCTTCCGCACGGGATTGGAAATGCAAATAAGCCTCTCTAAACTCCTACCTTCACCTTTACTTTCTAAACTTTTGCTCCTGGAGATCAGAGTTAAAAATCTTTGGGGCTGGAGGGACTGAGGGAAATCTGTAGTGAGATGTGGGACAAAAGTCCTCTGGCAGAGAAATTCTACTGACCCTTTAGCTAAGTTCAAATGTGTAGAAACCAATATAGACCATTAATATGTGACCACAGAGAATTCTGGGTCATCATAAATCTTGGGGTATCCCCACTAATTATAGGGAAAAGCTCTGTAGCTCTGTAGTTGCTGGCTGTGCATTTTCCTCAGTCTTCTCTATGGAAGGCTCTGTTTGCCAACGTTTACCTTTCCCTGTTTCCAAGGAAGGTTCAAAGTGGACAGGGAAAAGAAGCTCCTTGTTCTTAGCAATGGTGATGGAAGTTTGCTGAGGAAGGAGTTTGGAAGGCTAGGAAAGCTTTTATCTTTTTTTTTGGTACCGGGGATCGAACTCGGGTCCTTGTGCTTGTGCAGCAGGCTGCGAAACCATTGAGCTAAATCCCTGGGCTGGAAAGCTTTTATCTTATGTTATTGTGAGTTCTAAGTATTTCAGGTTAGTTATTAAATATCAACATAAAATACTAACTTGATCTAAATTTCTAAACTATAAACTAGGGTTTGATTTGTCCATATTGTTAAAGAATGGATTTCTAAAGGTGGGCAGTCACATGGGCAAAGACAATGTTTATAATGTGTATCTCTACAGAGATAACAAACTGCAAAAAATAAGAGGCAGCAAGTAGTAAAAAAGTTAACATGTTAAACTTCATTGCTCTTGTACTTGTTTGGATGAGCACCTTTTAACTTTCCAGTATCTGCCACTGTCTGTGACTCACTTTATTTGTCCAGTGGTAAATATTAAGCCAGGGAAATACTGGCCCTTGACTCACGTCCTGTAACTTCTAAAGATAATGAAGCTGATACAATACAGACATTTTGCTTTGACCAGGATATTTTTAAATAAAACAACGTGAAATGTTCTGGCTATCCTGATCATTATTATTAGGCTTAATGTTTTGCAAAGCAGATGATGTTGACCCTTCCTTGCTTAATAGCATAACTGAAGGTAATTCTTGGAAAAGGCTCAAAATATATTCAATTCCTACAACATAGTAGGTAAATAGCTGTGTTTATTGAGAATGCTTCAAAAGAGCACTAATGGTATAATTCAAATGTTTGGGATTCAACAAATGTAGCAGTTCCAACTTATGCTTAAATAAAAATATGTTTTGTAGCTTAACTGTTGGAGTTGTTAAAGAGTTCATAATTTCTAAGCATCATGCTCTGGTGATAAATAAGTTACCATTGCTCAAATTACTTTAAAATTAGCTTTTTTGTGAGATGAGAGCTCACAGACTCTAAAATTATAATATATACATGAATTCATTTAAAAGTAAGAGCCATGTAATTTTGTGTCAGGTTACATACTCATTTGGCAGAGGTGGTTCTTTTTTATTTTTATAAAAATATAAAAGCAAAAGCACAACAACAACAACAACAATGTCACAACCCACAGAGTTATATGTGTAGTTATTTCTAGAACAATAAACTGAAGTATACCTTCTGGAAAAGTAGCTCGGTAGTCTACAGATTCATTTGAAACCATTTCTGTAGTTGGACTTACACTCCGGGCACTTACAAGCCTATCCAAATGAGGAGTGTGTACTCTTGCATCATAGCGAACTAAGTCACTGCCCAGATCTTAAACAGAGAGAAAGAAAGACCTTGTTAAAGACTTGGCTATTATGGCTCCCTTTAGTACTTTGACTGAGTGCTAAGAACTCATGAATTTTATGGATTACATGTAAGACAGCACACAAGCTCTACAACAGTGTTAAGCTATTATGACTGCATTCTTAGGATAACTTCTTAAAACAAATAATAATGAAAAATGCACCTTTAATTTGTTTTCTCTTTTTCAGCCACAGGAAAAGCCCAAGTAATACTAAAAGTAGTATTGATATCGAGACAATGCCAACAATCAGTCCTGTGAAATTCTGATCTGGTTGAACTATTACTTTTCCAAGAACAGTTGAAGAGACTGCTTGCTTCCACTGAAAGTGATAAAGAAGAGTTAGAGTGTGGCCCTGATCGATACAAAATATTCTATACAGGCAGAATTACAATTTCTCTGTGTGCCAAACACCACCTGGCTGTTAACATTATGGAAGTGGCAAAGTTGCCTTCAGCATAATAAGAGATTCTTTAATTCTGTTTCCATGCTCAAATACTTAGGGAATATTGATTCCCCAAATACTTCTATAATATTTAGTGGTTTGTATTTGTGACTAGGTATTAGGGATAAAAAGATAAAAAAGTCTCTGATCTTGTGGAACTGGTGTATATTAGGGGAGATGTACATAAATAGTTATAGTATAATATGAAATGTACCATATAAGTAAGTAGCAAGAAATCAATTCTGTCCCATTACAGAGAATGGAGTGGATGGCAGAGAAGGCTTACCATAAGAGGGAAATAATCATATTATTATGGGACAATGAAGTCTCAGAATATATTTTATTTGTTTTGATATATAGAAGAAATCTTTGAGGCCCTTTTCAGCTCTATTTTAGCATTTTATGATTTTTAGGCTTTATGATCATTCTGAAATTCCAACTCTGATTTCATGATTTAGTCTTAGATTTTCTAATTCTTTTGTATGTTTTAATTTCATAAATTTTATTTTCCATAGCTTTTTAGAAGATTTCAGGAACCCTTAAAACCATTTATTCTTAGATAAACAAGTTGTGGAATATGCATAATGAAATATTATTCAGCCACAAAAAGGAACAAAGGAATAACACATGGCCACATATAGATGAACCCTGAAAACATTGGACAAAAGGACAAATGTTGCATGATTCCTCTTCCATGAAATATCTAGAACAGAAAGTAGCTTAGAGGTAACTAGGGGCTGATGGAGAGGGGGAATGTGAAATTACTGCTTAATGGGCACAGAGCTTCTGTTCTGGGTGATGAAAAAGTTTTGGAATTAGATACTGGATGGTTATACAACATCATGAATGCAATGCATGCTACTGAACTGTGTATTTAAAATGACAAGTTTTATGTTGTACATACTTTACCACAATTTAAAGAAGTGAGCGATGTAATACACCAAACTCACTGAATTGTATACTTTAAATGGGTAAACTGTATGACAGGTGAGTTACATTGTAATAATGCTGTTAAAAATAATAAAAAAAACCATTCTGGTTATCTGACTGAGCTGTCCACAGGAAAGAAGTTACTGTGAACAGTTTCATCCTTACTTTACTCTATCCAGGGCATACCTCTTCTTTTATTTATGGGGCCCTGTGCACTTGTGGTCACTGTGGTGGGCAATGGGACCTGGCTCTGGCCTCCTGGGGTGTGAGAGGTGGGGAAGGACACTCTTAGACCTGTCCTCATTTTTTCTGAGAATTACAGTAAAGTTTGGCAAGCGCGTGACATGATGGAGAGGCTTTGTGGGTAGAAAGAACTTTTGAGACCGACCCTCCAGAGCCTGGGGAAGGAGCCAGTGTGACAAAAAAACTTACTGTTTCTAAAATAACAACTAGGAATTGAGGTTGAGTTGATGAGCCACAGCCAACACACAAATGAGCTTTAATGATTTATTTTAAGCCTACGAGTGACATAATTACACTGGCATCCTTATTTACATCATGAGAGGAATGTAGGAACCCCACCTCTATATTTAGCTCACTGTTCAATTTCAGTAGGTCAATGGGGACCCTACATAAAACAGCTTCAGCATGTGGCTCTACATTCTCACAGCTCTTATTTCCAACTTTTAACACGTCACCTTTAACTGCTTCAGGGTCAATATCATTTCCCTGGAAGAAAAAAAAAAGAGAGAGGTTGTTAACACTTCCATTTTGCAGGAATGCTTACAATTGTGAAGGAGCACAAATACACTGCAAGCACAGGCCATGTTATTTGCCGAGGCACGTGATTTTATGGCGCTCATTTTCATGGAAACTGGGATGGCTGAAGGGAAGCACGACCATTTCAGGGCACTAATTAAGAATTACAGAATAGAGCTTTTTCATCAAATTGAATTTTAGAGAAAAGGAAAGGGAATCTTGTTTTATATCTTACATTGAATGGTGTCTTCACCATAATCACCTTATTAACGTCTTCAGAGGGTATTAGTGTTTGGCAGAAAGGAAGCGGTTTAGAGATTCAGTTGTTCTGCCTAACACTGCCTAATGCAATGATGTTCAACCCTGGCTTTGTTTTTAGAATCATATTGAGAGCTTTAAAAACACTCATGCTTGGGTCCCATACTTCCAGAGATCTGATGTAATTTCTCTATGCCAATACATTCCTTTTGTTTGAGTTGGGCAGTTTTTTCTCATCCTTCTTGCACACTTAAATCCTACACCTAAATAAATTCATTTTTCAAGAAATTCCCATAAAATATTAGATGTTCTTCATTAAGATTTAAGAGTATAATTATATTACAGTATTTCAAATAACTATATAGTTACAGGGAGATTTTAAAAAACTTACTCAACCGGACATATTTACTTAACTGAAGTTATCAGGAATTTAAAAAATAACAGCATTTTGTTGAAGAAACCAATCATTAACCTTGGGAAAGAACTACAAATATGAGTATAATTTCCCGTATCTACTCTTAATGAGTATAGTTATTTATTTAACAAGCCATTACTTTGAGGAATGATCTATCAAAACCTGTAACTATATTTCTTATGAAGAAAGAACAGCTAGTAATAACCACAGCCCTGATACTTTATTTTACATAATCTTTAATACTTGGCAAACTGCTTTCCCATACAATGCCTCAAATGAATCTCAAAAGATTTGTATGTCAGATGTTATTCTAGGAAAAGGAGCTGAAAGAAGATGCTTCTTATAGCATGAAGTTGGACTTTGAGATAAAATGACCATAGACAAAAATCCTTATGGTATTTCTAGAGGCAGTGTGAGCAATCCATTGATCCAGGTCAGCCACACAGGGCAATTCAGCATAGAAACACATAAATCTAATAGGGGGCTTGGGGCTTCAAATGACAACTTGTTGGTTAGGTCTGAGGAGGGCTAGGGATCTTACTAACATATTGGAGAGAATTCAGAGAATGACAGAGAAAAGAGATTAAAGAGCAGGAGGATTTGATTTATGAGGGAAGGACTACAATATGTCCTGCTTGCTAAGATAATAACCACAGTTGGGGGAAGGGATGCATTTACATTTTCAGTACTCCTTCTTTTAGGTTTAGGATATCCTAGGATGTTACATAAAAGGAAAACAAAAGCAGATCACATAGCTGAACAACTGCACGCTTTTTTACACAATCGTACCAAGAAACACATAATGAGCAATGCTGGATATAAGAAATTACTCTCAGCTTTGTACATGTAATTGTTTTAAAAGCTGAAAAGCCTAGATGTCACAGAAGTGACACCGGCAGCCATGCCTATATGAAAGCTGAGTTCAAATCAGGAAAATAAAAATACCTGTAGGGTTCTACAGTCATTTAAAATAAATAGCTACATTAAACTAATGAAAAATGTATACATTTAGAACTTTTTTATTATTGATTATTAACTATTACTAAATAGAACACATTTAGAAAATCATTTTAGTTCTTCATCACTAAAATGATAAAATATGGGCTTTTAAATAAAGCAACATTAGAAGCATTCTGATATTTAATCCCCTACACATGTAGAATAATTTAGAATAATAATTATCTCATTTTGTCCTGCAAAGACATCAGCATCTCCAGGTAGGTATTATTATCATTCCTGCTTTAAATATGGAGAACTAAGGTTTGAGGAAGGACTAGGTAATTGAAGCAAATCAAATTCTATTTGATGCAGAATCTACTAATCATCTACTTACTGTGTGTTGTACATAGGTTTAGTCACCGAGAATATGAAGATGAGCGAGAGTCTCTCCTCTCCCTGTAACGTTGAAATGGACACATTTCTAAAATAAACACTAGTGACTCCCAAGATATGTTACATCAGATGTACCTTGTCTGTTTCCTCTGTAACTCTGGTCAGACATGACATAATGTTTCTCCTCAGCATTCAGGCCTGGGGATGCTGCGAATTTGTGAAGGCTATAGAAAGGAGTGGAAGTGGTAGTACAATATTTGAAAAGTAGCTTTGTAATAGGAGGGATCTGGCACGTTTCCACACTTGGGTGGTCACAGGCAGGTCTAAGAGATTGGGCAACAGCAGAGAGGTGCAGGTTAGCAGCAGGGTCCATCAGGCAATGGTTCAGACCAAGGAGGTGAGCAGTTGAAAATCAGTGTTGTTCGTGGGGGTGACATTTATACTTCACCTAGAGGGTGTAAGTCCCTCAGCTCTGAAGCCAGGCCAAAGAACTGTCACAGCAAGCTTCAAAACTGTGTTTCACAATATGTTAAAAGGCAACTGAGGGACAAATTCCCTGGACATTTGAGAAAAGTAGGGCAAACTAAAATTAAGTTGGTATCGTCACTGGCTACTTGAGAGGCCTTCACCATTTACTCACTTGAAGAACCTTTCCATGTAGAGCCGCAATGCTGTCAATGTGTCCTGAAATATATATATATATATATATATATATATATATATATATATTCACAGAATTCCTATTAATGTTTGCAGCAGAGGGAAATACTGTTAGAGAGTAAGGTATGCATGCTGTCAAATGAGAATAAATCTTGATGCTAGGTCAAATGATCTTGCAGAAAAGAATTCTTCCCTTCTGTCCTGCCTAGAGTTAGAACCGGCTGTGTGATAGTTGTGATCGGGATTAGGTCTATAATTCCAGGTAAGTGGTCGGAGGAAGGAAGAGATAACTTCTGGCTGCTTTTGGCCAGCAGATGGATTGGGCTGGCTCAGAATGATGTTCCTGTTTAGATCTTTTTGATGCTCAGTCATTGACGCCTAACCTTCATCTGAGCTTTCAACATTTGGTCTGGTGTTTTTTGTACCCGAATCCCTGATCTCTGCTTTAGTTCATCTTCCTGCCTACTTTCCTGCTTGAACTGAGTTTTCCAGACTGAAATTTTTAAGCATGTCTGTTACCAAATATTCCTATATGCTTCAGAATAAGAAGAACCCCCAGGGAAGTGTCAGAGAGTCAGCACTAAATATTCAACTTCTATACTTTCCATAAAATACATTCATGCACAGAAAGTCAGATAATAAGATAATTGGGGAAAATATCAGGTTTCTTTAAACAAAGTAAAAGTTTAGATATTTGTAGAAAGTTTAGCACTATTTCACTTAAAGAACTGTGTTCATATGTACATACCATAGCTTTTTTATTATGAAAAGCTTTTCTATTGTGAAAGCTATTTTTTAAAATATATATATTTATTGGTACATTTTAGGTATAAAATACATTTACATTTATCATTGGGTGTTTGTACCAGAACATGATGCATCTTAGTTTTTATTTTTCCTCCCATTACCTGTGCACCCTTCACCCCCTCCACCCTTCCCTATCTACACAGAGTTTGATTCCATTTTTTTTCTCATAATTTTTTTCTTTCCCTTCTTCCCTTTCACCATCCCCAAACCCTTGGACCTTTTCTTATTTCAAATTATCAATTATTCATTTTAATCATTTTCATCCTTATTTACACTTTCAATTTCTCACACTAGAGAAACTATTCGTGTCCTATTATGTGTCCTATTTATTTCACTTAAGAGCATGGCCTCAATATGCATCCATTTAGCTATAAATGTCTCTAGTTTCTCATTCGTTATGGCTGAGTAGTACTCCATTTTATAAAAAGACCACATCTTCTTTATCCAGTCTCCAGTTGATGGGCACTTGGGCTGTTTCCAAGCTTTAGCTATTACAAACTGTGCGACTATAAACATAGCTGTGCATATATCGCCGTGGTATGATTCTTTTAATTCTTTGGAGGAGATTCCCAGTAGGGGAATAGCTGGGTCAATATGAAAGCTATTGTGATACAGATTAAATGAAAGTTAATATGAGAAACATTATAATTTAGTAGAATTTGGACTCAAGAAGCTTGAACGGAAGTTCTAGTTTGCTCCCTGGGTAACCCTAAGACAAGTAAGCCATCTTTTTGTTAATTTACCTATAAATGCAGATAATCTTTACTGACCTCTCAACCTCATGGGTCCATGTAAGAGCCAAGTGAAATAATCTATGTAAGAGTACTCTATGAATTGTAAAATTCCTCATAATTGTAGACTGTTCTGATAGGAGCATTGTGTCCTGCTGTGTACTTCCAAAGAGATGTCTACATCAGATGCCCACTGTCCACAGCTGGTCCTGGTGGACTTGATGCCTTGACCATAATTACCTCCTACGTCTGTAGGGGTTCTGATTCGTGCTGAGGAATGACTGATCTTTGGGCCCTGTTGTGCTCTCTTGCCTCAAACTTGGCTGGCCCTTTTACTCATGGTTTAGTCACTGGGCCACCTGTTCATAGCCAACTCTCAAAACGGGGGGCTGGAGATTATTACCATCCCTTCTTGGCCAATGAATCTCCACCAGTGTGGCTGGGTGAGAAGCATGAACTCTTCCTGGGAGTAAAGAGTAAACCTCACTCTAAACACATGATTGCCTTCACAGCACTTTCACTAATGAAAGATAAACACACTTTACGGGCGGGCTTTGAATGGTACTTGAACAAGTGTCATTTTAATAAAAACACTCTACTGCTTGTGCAGAAGAGATCTTTTCTTTCTCTTTTCCTGTTTCATTTTCTTCTCTAATAGAAGCAGAGGTTTCAATGTGATCAACCCTAAAAACCCTAAAAATTGATAAAGGATTAAATTTCTGTCACAACAGCCCACCTGTAATCTCAGCACTCTGGTTGGTTGAGGCAGGAAGATTGCAAGTTAGAGCCCAGGCTGGGAAATTTAGCAATACCCTGTCTCAAAAGGCTGGGAACATAGCTCAGTATGAGGCTAGGGTTCAATCCCTAGAACTGAAAAAAAAATTCTTTTGTTTAAAAAAACTCTCATACACCTTAGATTTCCACTTATACTTAAGGAAAACGGAGTATGAGCAAATATTGAATCATCCTAAAACAACTACCCTAAACAGTCCCTTCTCCCATGAGATACTACTGTGTATTATGGCAGGTGCTATATACTTGTTAGAGAAAAAGGGTAAATCTTTATACCATCATGAAAAGGAAGGCTTTTGTGCCTGTCTCCAGAGACGCCCTTGGGCCATGTTAGAATAACAGTAATAGGCTGAGGATGATGTCTAATCACATTTTTCTTGGTCCAACAATTTTGTAGGATGTTGAATAATGGGTATTTAATTTAGGAAAAAGGAAGCTTTCTCTTCTGTACAATACTCTGTGTAGAAGGGCACTTATCTGTAATATGTCTATCATAGATATAGGAGCAGAAAAATGGAATTTCTCTGGGCATAAAATTATTTGCACATAAACCTTTGTTTTCAACATGAAAAACCAAATGGAGTCTTTCAAATGGCAAACATAGTAATTGTTGAAAGCAAAGGTCACATTAGATTAATTTTATTGAAATAAAGTGATAAAAGCTCTTTCTCCTTTTCTAAAACTAATTAAAGAGGCAGATGAAAGAACTTTGCTGTGGTAAACATGCTGCTCGTTGAAGCAGGCTTCTTTTTAATTTCATGCAGGGTTTGCTTAATTGCACAAAACACAACGGTGAGGTTAGTAAACTTATATGATTGTAAGTGTATGCGTGGGGGTAAGCTGTGGATAAAATCTTGTTAATAAAGCAGAAAAATTTCAGTAGATACATATTACATAGATGGAAATGACCCATGACAACCTCTATTACATCAAAATAAGGACTAGCCTATTGCTTTGTGTTTGAATTTGCATTCAGAGGACCTTTCAGGAAAACATTCTGAATGTCTAAAACAGTATATTGAAGGATAAATATTTTGCTCTTTTTAATGACTGATAACTAATGTCTTGATAATTTTGCCTGTTCTATTATCATTTGAAGTAAAAATGACTAAAGTTACATAAGAGAGCTGTGTTCTAGTCGGCTCTGTCACTATTTCATCACTTGTCAAGCTGTTTAACCTCTGTGGGTCTTATGGTTCTTCATTTGCAACAGGCTGGCTTAGAAAAGATGATCTATTGCTTTCTATTAAATTATATTTAGAGGCTAAAATATTTCTATGGTAGTGGGAATACAGTTCCATTTATAAATCAGTTTAGAAATGACCACACCCAGATATAAAATTCCAAATATCATGAAGAAGTAAAGAACTACGATTGACGCAATTGCTTTCATGGTCCTTACCTTTTACCTTATAATAAGAACATTTAGGTGAAATCTTCAAGGGGACTGTGTAACATCACCAGGATAAGGGATCACAGGGAGCCTTTTTAATAGATTTGTGTCCTGTATTTGCTACTTTTACATATGTACACAAGAAAGTGTTTTTAAATGTTTCATTAAAAAGCAATCCACAACTAAACTTACCTTTCAGTCTTATGCCAAAGAAATTTGTTTTTCAGACTTTAGTTATTTGCTGATGTAGCATAAGATATAATGGCCAAGAACAAGGATTCTATTCACATAGCTATGAATAAAGTTCACCCTTTTTTATAAAAAAAAAAAATTAAGTTCACCCTGATTACTTAAGGGAGCATTTTAAGCAATTCTTACCCTAATTTCCAGTACATTTTCATTGCCCATTGAGATCATCACTGGCTTTTCAAAATGTTTAAAGACTGGATTATGTACATAAACGAGATCAAAGTATTTGGAAAGGATCCCATCCAACATGAAAAAGGCTTTGGTCTTCAGGGGGAGTTGCAGATTCAGCTGTTGCAATGAAGGCGTGGTACAGCAGATTATCTCTGAATTAGAGCGATGCTGGCATGCCTATAGGAAGACAATTATCCACTGTCAACAGGATGTAGCCTGACAACACCCATAGCAACTTTCATATTTCACAACTTCAGACCATCAACTGAAAACACAGGATTGTCAAAAAAAATCTGCATTTAACTTCCTACTGTTGAAGAAAACATTTTTGGAAACATGAGAGATGCAATATTTTTCAAACAACCCAGTCTTCAAAGGACCACAGGGCTTCACTTTCCCAGAGTATGCTCTGTTGACCTATCTGCAGGTCGTCCTTACTCCACCATTTTATTTTCCTTAAGACAAAACAGTCATGTGGAGGGACTGCCTTCTAGGCTTGTGAAGCAGCTATGGCTGAATTGGATCTGCACTTGGTGGGGTTAGACGTCCTTGGGTCAGATCCTAGCTTTAACTCAACCTGTGAGAACTGAGTCAAAGCTCTTACTCAGTTTACCCATTTGGAAGTTAAGATTAAAATTTTTTTGTGTGTGTGTGTGCCGGGGATCGAACTCTGGACCTTACGCTTGCGAGGCAGGCACCAGAACCACTGAGCTAAATCCCCGGCCCCATTAAGATTAAAATTTTATTCATAACGTGGGATACTACCTAGTAAATTGCTTTGTCTATTGCCAGGCTCCATGTGGTTACCATTGTAACTAACTACGTAGTCAGAGAATCTTCTTATTGTGCTTTAAGGTTTAATTATTATCAGTTCTGTGCTAAATACTTCACAAAGTTGGTCTCATGATAATCCTACAGGCAGATGCCATGCTTATCCTGTTTACAGATGAAGAAACTGGAGCTTTTCAAATGTAGGTCACACATCTCTGAGAGGCAGAACAGGGTCCATATGTCCTAGGCCATTAACATCAACACTCACACCCCAGTGATCTACCTTGTGTTCATTATGTCGCCTATATGGGTAAAGCTTTTCCTGTGCTCTTTATTTTACAAAGGTTCTGCTATTGTTATTTCATGCCCTTTCATCTTTCATTTTAAACCTTCCCCTTTGAAATTCTGATTTATGGAATTTTGGAAAATGTGGTTTCCTCTTGATTATACTTAGGGTAAAACTAGCAACACAAAGTGATGTTTAAGGTTAAATGGTTGCTTTCCTCCAAGGAAAAGATAAACAAGCAACAACATCCCTTAGATTTCCTTTTCTTTAACAAGTTTAGTTGGAGATAAAACAATTACTTATGCTCACAATAGAAAAAGCCTCAGGATGTACATAAAAAGCACAAACAATTTGGTGTTTGATATTTTCTCTTAAAAGTAATTTATAAAATTATTCTACATTAAAATGTGTATGCTGTAAGCAGGTAAAAATAACAAGACAGAATGTGAGTAAAATTTATTATTTAGTTTTACATCAAATTAATATTATATGCTAAAAGTGATTTTCTTTCAGTGCTTGAGATCTACTCCAAGTCTTAAGCATGTTAGGCAAATGCTACCACTGAGCTATATCCTCAGCCCTATTCCAATCATCTTGAAAAATGGAAATGAACAATTTTACTGCCTGTTATCACAATACTTCCTTACATAACATCAACTTTGAAACTATACAATAAACTGTGGGCATCTGGATCATAATGTGCATGAACAAATTAATATACATTTTGTTAAGAAGTTAATTATTTGTATTCTAAAATATTTAAGTTTATTGGAATTAAAGTCATTGAGGTTGGATTTATATATCTAAATCAGGCCCAATCATGAGTTTTCATTTGTTAAGTAATAAATGAGTTCAATTTTTTATGGTTATCTTTAAATTCTGTAGTGTCAGGGAACATGGAACACATTTTTTATGAGTTTCCACAAACAACAGTAAAATACAACCACTGAATTTTCAATTCCATTCAACTCTAATGCATAGTTCTATTGTATCAACACGTTTGTGGCTAAAAACAATAGAAGTTTACTTGTCCAGATATGTAAATTATTAAAATTTTTATCTTCCACCATTGGTTGACTCTTTTTGGAAACATTCATCTCTTATGTCTGACACCTAGAAGGTGTTTTAAAAAAATATTTGATCATAAAAAAATGAATGAAGCTGAGCTGTTCTTTGTGTCATCTTAATGCTGACAAAGGAGAAGAAAGTAAATTTAGTTACCGTTTTAATTACGTAGAGTTGATATTAATTAGATAAACTAATAATTCCTTAGATTTCTACTTTAAAAAGTCACATGCCAACACCAAAGAAGGTTACTGTTATTCTGGTTTGGTTAATGAAAAATTGCTAGGCTTGCTTGTGGAGAATTGACATCCTCTAAATTAATAGCAGTGGTATTTTAACTTTGTTTGTGGCCACGTGTGGGGACTGGCTTCAAAGCCCTTTACTTCATGCTGTGACTCCCTAGAGTATAATCTCTTAGGAATATGATAAAAATCTAATAGTACTCTTTAGAGGTGATGCAATGTGGCTGATTGAGAAGGTCAAGAAAAATCTCATTTGAGATGACCTTAGTGTTTGGTGATTTAGTTTGACATTTTTAGCCTCAGATTGGTTTTTGTAATTAAAGAACACAGTGGCTTTAGTCTTCAAGAAATACTGGATAGGGAATCTCAAAGAAAGTGCTGTAATTCAATCAATCACCTACACAGTCAAGACCACATTTGAGCTGGAGCACTCAGAACTTTCATTCTGAGTTGAGTGAACAAGTCCAACTAGATTATAGCATCTTATAATAGTCATCAACAAAAGGTATGCAATCTTTGGAAATAACTCCAACCTTCTTGAGTTTTAGACTTAAAACTGCCACTTGAATATGACCTGTTGAAATTGTTAGTGCATAAAATGGATTAATCATGTTTAAGGATGTATTTAGTCAAAGTCAAAATGACTTTGCAAATAAAATAAGGAAAGGTAGCGAAATGACAAAAGCAATATCCACATCCTAGGATATGTCATAGTCTAATGCTCTTTCTTAGCATTTGATAATGTGCTAACAAAGGGACAAGACTGATAAAAGAGTAGGGGGAAATGTAAGAAAACACTGGATATCTTTTGCTTAGAAAGACAAGGATGCTGCTGTAAGGCCATAGGGCTTATCTAAGAGTTTTCTTTTTTTTGGTATCAGGGATCGAACTCAGGACCGTGAGCTTGCGAGGCAGGAGCAGCATCACTGAGCTAAATCTCTGGCCCATCTAAGAGTTTTCTTAGAACAAGAGGGTCGATATTCCATGTGGAATTCCACAAAGATGCACGGAAGAATGTGATTTCTATTTATACAGACTGTCTTTAAAAAGTGTCTCCAGTTGGCAGTCTTCACTTGTGTCTATACATTGTATGTGTATGTTTATGTCGGCCCAAGATGATAGACAATCTTAGTTATTGAATAAAAACAACATGATTTGACCCATGCTGCAAAGATAATAAATAACAAACATTAAAGACAAAATCAAAATTTCCCATGTGCCCTGAAAGCCAGGTGGCAGAGACAGAGATGCAGAGCTCTGAGTAAAATTGTCACTCAAAGGACTCACCACCGTGTAGTTCTTTCCTGCTTCATGCACATTTATTACCAGCCTTGGGATGCTGATTGAATTCAGGTTTTTTCCAACACCTGTTATTGTGCTCCCACCACTGGCAAAATCAAATAGAAAAATGGTAAAATTAAGAGGTTCTTTCCACCAACTATTTTAAGAGAGAGGATCAATTTTATCACATGCAAAAGATTACATGAGGAACAAGCCAAAGTCAAATGGAAGCTAAGGGGTACTTCTTCTTTGGAAACAACTTATTGAACTTGAAAATATTTTTAAAAATTTGTATTTCATAAGCTAAAGAAAAGCCTTTGCATTTTTGTTCACCAAATATACAATAAAAATATTTCTTCTCTCTAAAAAAACAAAGAAAAAATGTACGCTAACTATTGTTGCTAGAATGATAGAATTAACGGAAACAGGGCAGATTGAACTGGCTCCAATGAGATACTGATTCAGAGAGTCTGTGATAGGGAAAAGCTGCATAGAAAACAGACTGGAAAAAAACATACATTGAATAATGGAAGAAAAAAAGTGATTCTACTTTGGCGTATTGTGGCTAGTGCAGAATTAACATGTCCATAAACGTAAGAGCATGCATGCAATCAGTGGTGGCACAATGAACTAGTTTATTGCAATCTATTTAAAATATAGCTTAATTCAAAATGCTTCATGGCATGAACTAGTATGGGTAAAGTCAAACTGTACCCAGAATCTGAACGTGATTTTCTCCACTGAACTGGGAAGAAAGCCTTCAAAAGAAATGCAATGGGGTCCAAGCCAGGAATAAAAATGCACTTCTTCTTGACTGTTCTAGTCAAATCACCCTTATGCCCATTACTTTGCATACCTACCAGAAATGGTTACTTACCTAATAAAAGATTTGGTAGGGTGAATTTCATAGACAATGGGGTCATCCTGATAACTGAAGCTGCCAGTCTCGCGGTTGGCTAAGTCAATTTGCAACTTAACAGGAAACTCAGCTGAAATGGTTTGGGAAGGTGTATAACATTCGAGAATACTATTTGATACACTGAAAAAAATAAGATAAATTTAGAAAGCTTTTCAAGGTACACATCATTTAGAATTACATCTATAAATCAAAGGATATAACTCAATGGTGCCTAAATGGGAATTTCCTGAGGTGGTGGAGAAAAAAAGCCCTTTATAGTGTAGGCTGTTTACATTTGACTTGATCCCAAGCTATGTTGTTGAAAGGTCATCCTTAACTTCAAAACATCTGGCATTTAAAGCACTGGCATTTAAAGTACTGTTGGTCCTTGAGTAAACTGATCTGTTTCGACTCTAAGAAGCAGAAACATAACCTCTTTCCAAGCCTAGTCTCTCTCATTTCTGCCCTCCCCAAAGTGACTTATAATTTTAAATCTTTTTTTATTCATTAAGTTTATTGGTACATTTTAGGTATACAATATGATGACATTCAACATTGGGAATTTGTACCTTGACATGATGTATCTTGGTTCTTATTTTTTCCCCTTCCCCTGCTCTCCCTTCAACCCCTCTATCCCTCCCTATTTACAAAGGCTTTGTTTCCCTTTTTTCCTTTTCTCATATTTTTTTCTGTCCGTTCTTTCCTTTCCCCTACTCCTCCCACTTCCCCTTTAGACCTTTTCTTCCTGTTTCACATTATCTATTATACATTTTGATCCTTATTTACACGTTCAGTTTCTCACACCAGAGAAACTATTCGGTATTTACACATGTCTGTCCTATTTATTTCACTTAAGAGTATGGCCTCAATGTGCATCCATTTAGCTATAAATGACACTAGTTTCTCATTCTTTATGGCTGAGTAGAACTCCATTTTATAAAAAACCCACATCTCCTTTATCCAGGCTCCAGTTGATGGACAATTGGGCTGTTTCCAGGTTTTAGCTATTGCAAACTGTGCTGCTATAAACATGGGTACGCATATATTGCTGTGGTGTGATATTTTAAATTCTTTTGGGAAGATACCCAGTAATTTTAAATCTTGATGGAAATGTTCATTTTAAGTTACTGTCAATTACCAGAACCTCAAGTTCATCATATAACTAGAATATTGAGAAATAACAATGCAGAGCATGGATGGAAAGACAAAACTCAAAAGTGGGATTAACAAATAAGAAGGAAAAGGTAGAAAACTGAGCAAAAGGGGAATAGGTGGATCTCTGAGTCTTGTAAGCAGGAAAGTAAACAATAAATAAACATCTTGACTTTTTTCACTTTAGAAAGAACAAACGAGTTGATTTCTTATGTACAAGAATTAATCCAACTTGGCAGATGCAACAAAAAATAAATTTATACCACCTTTTTAAAGTGCATGTTTTTCCACCAATTGAAATGTGTCTAGAATTTCCACTGTCCAGGTACTTTCCAGTTAAAGTAAGTAAAGTGCCACCAGCCTTAGGACCATGACTTGGAGAAATACTTGTTATTATAGGATCCTGAATGGGAGATAAAAATAAAACAACATAACTTGTTAATTGTATAAATCTAAAAAAATTAAGTAAAAACCAAACATTTTAGTTGTGAGAAAAGTAATACTTAGACTTACTACATAGGAAAAAGTACTGTATTGTGTTGTTCCACGACTGTTTGAAATAATTATGGACATATTGAAATGTTCACTCATGGCAGGACCAACTGTGCATTTCAACCTGGAAAAAAGCAGTTTGATATATTACAAATCCATAGGTATTCTCTGGGTTGGTTGATTTTTTATGATGAGACATTAACTTCAGATCGTGAGCTGACTGGGCTAAATAGCAAGCAGAGTTTTCTGTGGAATTAAGGCTGAAAATTATATAATTCTACTTCTTCAGTATTATGCTAAATTTTATATTGACTGTAGAACAGTGGTTATACAGACAACACAGGAAATGTTAGGTCTCATCAATGCAGATTTCACCAATTGAAAAGTGTATAATAAAAAAGTGCATAATAATTTAAGCCTATACAATTATAATGTTTAGTATATTTAAAATAAAGTAATGATATTTCAATAACCTATAAAAAACCAGATAGCCATAAATAGGCCAAATTTCTCTATCACAATATATCAACAGATGCATTTCTAATGGTTTTACTTGTCACACGTTTAAATCACTTAAAGAATAATAAAATTGTGATGGGCTTTATATGGAATAATTTTTTAATCAACAATATTAAATTCTGAAAAGTTTAAATATAATTTATTATATTAAATAGATTTTAAAAGAAGAGAACAGATTGTTTCATTTTTACAGATACTGATTTATAATGGAGTATTTAAGAGTTTTGGAGAACTTACAGGGGATTTCTAGAATTGATTTGTTTTGCCATTGAGCTAACAAGTATGACATTACTTGATATTTTTGTCTTAGTAAAATGAATAGATGAGATTTTTTATAACCCTTTATAAATTCTATTAGATATAAAATAGTCACTTAATAGAATAGGCTCAGACATAAAGATTAAACCAATAAAACTTTGTTTGATGTTGTTAGTATATAATAACTAATGATTTCAGGATTCTCTGTTCATTATGGAATTCAGAGTTTGTAGAGGGTGCATGTAGAACAAGGTAGAATAGGCAAAGGTTCTGGATCAGAAGATCTGCATTTGAAGGCCCATTGGGCTCTTACTGTCTGGATCACTTCTGCTTAAGCACACTCTATTTGTGGAATATCACGTATTTCCTTTGTAAAATAGGAATGGTATCACCACCTCCCAGGACTTTGGAGAGACCAAGTGAGTTACATGTCATACAGTACACTGCCAATATATATTAGTTGAATGTAAACTTAAGCGCATTCAAAATCAGTCTGAAAAATGTGATTGAGTGGTTTTATTATACTTTTAAGATTCAGCAGATGAATTTACAAGAGGATGTCTGTATTGAGCTGTTTATTGATTTTATAGAAATAGCTTATTGAGACTATATTTGAAGACTTAAAGACTACTTTTCTTTCAAATCTACCTAGAAACTTTCTGAAGGGTTGTGACAGTAATGGTTGAAAAACTCCCTACATGCTAGATTCTTCTTTTCTTCAGCTAGGCCATACCACCTTTCCCTTTCCCTAATCCTTGTAACAGGATTAAAAGAACAAAGCAAATCCACAAGTGTGGAGCTCCTTGTGACACCCAATGGGTTGATGTCTGCTTGAGTTGCCTCGGAAGGCAGAAGACTGCTAACTCCGAGGAGTCCAAATGTCTTGAAGACAGGGTGTTTTGCCGGCTCTGGCAGAGATGGACCTGGGTGGGAAAGACAAGGAAGCTCCCTAGGGGACAATTACATAAAATTAATTATTCAGCCAAACTGTCACCATGCCTTGCTTGCCTGCCTTGCTACCTAAAACAAACATCTGTGCTCAGCAGAACTCTTTGCCTTTGTTGTTCCTTGATAAATCTGGGGGTTTGAGTCAGTTCAGGGCTTTACTCCACTTCGGTGAAGACCCCTGGCCCCTCATCAAAGATATTTTCTGTCTCTGATGTCTTCATTTCTCTCTCTAACAGGTTTGCTGGACCGAACCTGGCAAACAAGGAATGTGACAGGCCGAAGACACTTTTTAATTCAAGAAATGAGCTTTTTGAGAAAATTTTAACAAGCATTTATTCAAAAACAAAACCTGTCTTCCAAGCACACCCCTGCAAAGCGTCTTAAGATCCTTACGTATTCATCGTGCTCTCATTTAAGGTCAAAGTGCAGTTCTCATTTCCAAGGAGAACTTTGGTTTTCTTTAAATCAAATTTATTATTCTTTCTGAATCCAAAGTCCCAGCCACATATGGTCAACGTTGTCCCTCCTTCAATGGGTGCACTAGTTGGGAAAACCTACAAGGAAAACATAGAACTAAAAAAAAATCCAATGTTATTTTTTTCATATGTGGGTAAAGCAAACAAAAACAAACTATGTACCCTAACAGTCTGAAGTTATCCCACATTCTAGTAAAACTTCAATTTTCACTAAAGGAGAAGGGCCACAAATTCAACAGCATCTGGAATAAACATTAAAATTATTTTACATGCTGATGAAACAAGCTCTTTTTGGATCCAGAAATGGGAACAAGAGTGAGTCAGCCTGGGTGGAATGAGGGGTCTTTTGGGGCACTTTGAAGTGGACTCATTTGGGGAGCAGTAAACACTTTGGGCCCAGACTCTTTCTTGCTTGTAACTGATTATACCACCTTCATGGGCCTCCAGTCAAATTCCCCATCCAAACTCCTTTCATGGACCCTGTCAGCCAACGTCGGTATTAACACCTTGCTCAGTGAATGAGCTTTGTGTGTGCCACATTCTTGTTTCTATGGCATTCCCCAGCCACAGAAGAAATTCACACGGTAAAAGTACATCTTTTGGTACCTTGCATTTACACAGTTGTATTCAGCAGCTATCATAATACCAAACACATAGATGGTATTCATTACATATGTGCCAACCATTCATCCATCATTTATTTATAAAGCATCTTCTATCTGCCAAATACCAATAAATAAATAAGTGAATCTACTTTTTTATTCTTATAAGTTGATCTATTTCTTTATACCTATTAATTCACATTTATTATTGACAGGATTTTTCATTGTTCTTTACATAGTCACTGTTTGATGTACAGCATGTACACAATGTAAAATCAAATACTGCATAACATTTAATACATACAATATGCTATTTCTATTAGAGATATAAAAAGAAACGTAGCTGGAGAGCACCCAAAATCAGTACTGTAGCAATCTTTCTAGTTATCTCCATTGGCATTATTTTACATCTCATTTTTAAGATTGATTTTTTCATCTCATGCTCAATGTTTAATAAAAGGTTCATTATATTGCAAGCTAACTTTTGGTGTGTTAAATGAGAAATGTGGGATTCTTAATACAGCTTTGGTAACCATGATATAAAGGTAGCATTAAGTATTTATGAAGTCTGTAAGACAACTGTTCTTAGGCTAAAACTATTTAAAAAAAACACATTTCCAAGTTAAAAATAAGCTTCTCTGGGCAGCTCTGTGACAATTGAGAAAGGAAATGTTCTTTTTTGGGGGGGTATATTGTAAATTGTGCTATAAAGTACAATGGTGGGAAAATAGCACTAAGACAGAGGCAACTCAAAAGCCAGCAAAGGTATTTGCTACAGCTCAGTTTGTGCAACTCTTACAATTAAGAAGGCTTTTTAGCAAAATTCAAATTTGCAAACATTCCGATCCTTCCTAAGTAAATAATTGCAAACTGAAGTCTTAACTTACCCTTGTTACCAAACCCGTTTAAAGTCTTAGCTTAATGCTTTTATGATAGCTATTTTACCCATAAAAATCCATTACACAGTTATGCCTTTCACGAAAATTTACCTCTTCCATGTCTAGCCAAATGAGAACTACTAGAAAAAATTTTATTTATTATTATGTTAGAAATCCAGCAGGAGAGAACAAGACATCCAACCCTCCCAGGTCTCTTCTCAGCCTGGGGCTCTCACACAGCTGCTGTTCCCTCTTCTAATGAGGAGCCTTCTCCATCGAAAACAGCTGCCCAATGCTGACATGGGCCTGTTCCCACTGCCTACATCCCACTTCCTATGTAAAAAATTAAAGTCTGTCACTCGATATACATCATCACTTTCTACAAAAGGCAAAGGGACTGGATGATGATTTGAGAGAAGACAATGAGTTGCTGAACTGGTGTTCTGGCCATAGGAATGAGTATTAGAAAACCTCTACTGTACACAGGATTCAAAAGGCCATATCCGGTCAGCTTTTCTCTCTGGGTCGAACATTTTTCTCTTAGATTAAGGGGTAACTTCCACTCTTCCAGGGGAAAAAGAAGGACATGGTCAAGCATCACACCATCTTCCCAGCTTTGGGAAGGCAAACTTCGTTATCCTGGAGTGTAGAGATATTTGTGGACAGAAAATGAGTCCAGCATGAAGCCATGGAGGCTGCTTCTCCTACTTGTCTGGATAGGGGAGATGTGTCCACACAAGTAGCTCTTATCCTTTCACAGGTGAAAGACTGTGCTCATGATGGGCCCATTCCACCAGTTTTTTATGCTTTTTTTGGTACTGGGGATAGAACTCAGGACCTTGCGCTTGCAAGGCAGGCGGTGGAACCACTGAGCTGAATCTTTGGCCCCTTCCACCAGTATTTTAAATGATCATGTTTTTTAAACCCTTCAGATAAAACATGAGAAAGCTGAAAGAAAAAATCCCTGAACGTTGAAATTTGCAATGGAAGCCTCCTTTCTGGTTTGGCAGGAAAAAGGTTGCAAATATATCCTGGCAATGTATTGCCTATAGCCCTTCTACCCCCTACAAGATATTGCTGTTGCTTCTTATCTGTCTTCTGATTAACTAAAAAATAGTTTATTGTCTCACTGGGATTGACTTCAATCCTATATGATATGACCATGTTATCCTGATAAATTCAGAATATATTAGGAAAGTCCTCTTCCTTTTCTGAAGCATTTTTCATTCCCCTTTAAGTATGAGATCAGATGACACTTATGAAACAAAATAATGGGCTTATAATCCTGCTATCTCTCCTATCTGAAGTTGTAAAGAATTTTATGCCCTGAACATGTTGTACCTTGAAAAGCAGGTTAACGCGCATGTATTGGTGAGTGAAACTATGCATTTGCTGGATTTTGTGCATGTAGAGTTTAAGACAGATAAGAAAAAGATGAATAATCTGTCTTACTCTTTGCAGTAAGAATGCTAAATGTCACGGTCTAGCACAGCATGAAATCTTCCTAACAACTATGAACCGAGAGGGATTTATGGACTCAGCTGCACTACTTTCCTTGTAACTGTACAGCCCATGCCTGAAAGACTTGTTCATGATACAATGCAACCTTTTAAAAATTGCCAAACGTAGAGTGCTGGAGTTAGAGGATGTGTGAGAGGAGGCAGATTCAAACTATGAGTTTCTCTGCTTCCAGAAAATTCTAAAATATTGTTCAGTTTCTGAGCATCTTAACATGACTTTCATGATTAGTAACAGGGAGCACAATGATCAAAATTAAATGTTTCTATAATGGTTATCAACTTTGCTCTTTACTTAAAATACCAACTTGGCTATTTTTGAAATAAAATTGTTGATTTAATTGTGTGTGAGTGCATTTACACACACTCTCTCTCATCTCTTTCATAGACTATGAAGAGTTCAAATTTCTGGTGTCTTAAATTGCCAAGTCTGTATGTTTATAAAAGTGTAAAAGTGCACGGAGATTTTAAAAGTATTGTGTTGGTTTTAAGTATTGTTTGGACAACAAAAATGTGCATAAATACTATAGAATAGACTTAAGTTTGTTTTATTCTCCCTCAGTTTATTTTCTGCCTGATTAAGCCAAAACTTGGTAATTGTCACACCTAACAGAAAATGATTTGGTTTAAAATCCAGTCACCCACTGCAAATCTTGCCTGAAACCATAACTAAATGAAAACAGACATGTGCTTGGGGGCAGTTCTTGTTCTGACTTGCACACTTTGTTTACCTGAGCATGAACCAGGTGACTAAGACCTTTAACTTACATCTTTCACAAGAACTGTTTACTAAAGTCCAACAGTTCTACATGCGTGCAGAGAAAAATACATACCGGGTCCTCAACGAGGAAGTATTTTAAAGCAAAATGTACAGCACTTGGACCAAGAAATTATGCAATAATTGCCAGGGAGACTTTCATAGTACCAGATATATGCTTAAACAAATAAGGCAATAGATTAGAGAGTGCGGTTGCAATGTTGTGGTCAATGTCCACTTCCGGAAACTAATTTCTTTAAGAGCAGGAGGCACGCTTGTCTTCTTTTGGACTACGTGTCCCAGTATTTAAAAGGTCTGCCATGTGGTGTGCTCTCAGTAAATGTTTTTGCAGGGAATTAAAGGATGAAAGGGCTTATAGCACTGCAGATGCCAGTATAGTCATCAGTTGAGCCTTTACTTCTCTTTTAGGTACATTGAGGTGAAACTCAGTCACCTATGAGTGTTGACCCTCAATTTGCCTCCCACATCTCCTGGGAAACAACCTCCAATCTATGTATGATGATACAGGGTTGCCTTCTGTGTCTCAGATAGGAAGAAACCTTTTGTCCTGTCTGCCCTAGTATGGCTGGAACTGTGGGCTTGCATGGTTCACCTTAGGGGTCCTGGTTATGCAATGAGAAGGTCTGTCTCAGTGGTGGAGACTCATGTCTGGGCAGCTGGCATAAAGTAAGTGATGAGGAATCAGAGAATGGTGAGTCAGGAGGGAACACGCTCCAGTATGAAGAAATGGGGAGCATTATCACTCATGAACCATACACATGGCACTAAGGGAAGGCAGCTGCCCAAAGAGAGTGAACAGGAAGCAAGCCCTTCAGCCGCAGAACTCAGAGGTGCCCTAAGGACACTCAGGGATAAATCCAGGAGTGACCCAATGCTTCCCCTGATGTCTTACAGCTAAATGAGAAAAAATAATTTCTGAATTGTTTTTTCAATAGTGAGGTTTGTGTTTACTGCAAATCATGCATGATAGCAGACATTCCTACCTTGTAGATTGCAGGCAGGCAGCTCTCTTGCGTCCATGTCCCACTGAGGCACTCATCTGACTGCACACACTGATTGTGGCACCAGCCACACTGCACAAAAGGTGGGGCAGAGAGACATTGACTACAGGACTGGAAATGTCCACAACCCAAGCCATTCAACGGGATCTTTGTAATCTGTGGAGAAAAGTGATATAAAGGGCTTCCAGAAGGGGTTTTGTTTGGTTTGGTGAGTAAAAACTGAATACACAGAAGCTACATATAAATATCAGCTTATGGAGTCTCTCAGAGAGAGCACCTATGAGCAAATCACGTAATAATGGTTAAGTGATTAAAATAAAAAAAATCAAATTTCTTCCTTCCCTCTATTGTTGGCATCTATGTGATAAAAACTGACATTACTGTTCAGGAATTTATAAGCATTGTCATGCAAAAGGTAGAGGGTATATACAGAAGGGACACTTGGCCCTGCCCAAGATGATCTTGAAATTACCAGAGAGTACAATTTAAGGAAGACACATTTGAATTCCTGGAAAATTTTAAGTGAGGTCTGATACTAAGATGCACATCTTTCTCTCAGAGAAAAGGGACTAATGGCTGAAGTCAGATTTCAACACACATTTCCAGGATTTATCTGCCTGCACTAGAGTTCTACCATAAGGACTATAATTCTCATTCTCTGTGTTTGCTTTTCTCACTGAAAAATATAGGACTAAAGGAAAAGTGTACATTAAGAAGAAAACCTCCCTTAAGCCTAATCATGCATGAATAAAAAGTTACATTAGTTTGGAACATTTCTGGAACACTGAGAAAAAACTTGGTGGAGGAGATGCCAAATGTAAGATGAAGAGAGAAGTTATAAGAAAAACCAAATGATACTGGCTGTAAATATCCATTTAGGAAGAACCATAACTATGGAAACTCCCTGTGAGAACAAGGCTTACCTTCTTCCCAGTGATAACCAGAGTGTAGCCATTTTGGTTTAATGGGTGCTCCACAATCACTTCTGGAGACACAGGATGGGAATCCAAGGGAAAATTCACATGAGGGGTAGATGATACTGTTCGAGAAACCACAACCTGAGAAATAAAAAAGGATACACCCTGTTCCAACAAGCTTTGTTTAAATGTAAGCAGAATATGTGGATAATAATGAAAATAACAGGTTAGAAGAGTTGGCGGGTGTTTGAACTACAGGCCCAACAGTTCATCTAGTTGTAAGTCAATACATCTTTTAGTCTCCTTCCTTGAAGCCAATTTATTTGAACCCCCAAGACAGACTTTTGCCTGATTTTTTTAATGGTTTCTAGGGAAGGAGATCTTCCAATTAATCAGCCAGCACATGCAGACAAATCCTCACAATTGTACTGGGAACTGGAGGAGCCAAAACTCTAGCCAGAAAGAAGATACCATGTATGCTACAAGAATTCTAGATTATTTTTAATCTATCCTCTTGACCCTCCCTATGGAGCAGTTTCCCTTGACTTAATGGTAAGAGTGTTGGATTGGGAATCTCGAAACCTGTAGCTAGTTCCAACTTCTTTACTCTTAAGCCATATTTATAGATCTTTTGAGGTCAAAATAGGCCCTTTGTTACTTTGAATTGATGTACTGTATTTTTTTATTTACTGCTGTCTCATGATATGTTTTTCCTTGCATTATAAATAAAGTTCTACTTCTTGTCCCAGTTTTAAAATAAACCCTGATGGTTTTAACAATGCCTGGGAAATGATGTTTTACGACTGGTGTTATTCTTGCTTTCAGGAATTTCTATTTTGGGATGTTTCCCACCTATATAATTTCTACTTGCCCTGTTCCTAGAACCCAGTGATAATGAAATTCAGACACTTTTATCAACAACTGAGATAAGATCAGTGTGATTATCTTAGATGAACACAGATTTTAAGAGGGTTTAGGAATTCTCAGGAGAGTCTGTCATTCTTGAGTAGGCCATCAGTTTGCATATACATGAGAGTGTAGGAGGCTGAGCACAGCTCTGTGTTTGAAATCTATCTGCTCTTTGAAATTGCCTGACATCTCCAATAATCTTTTACACTGCACTGAAAATGCATTTGCTTGCCATGAGTGTGAACTTGTGGGGCAAACATGGGCATCTGTGAGATTAGGATTAAAAAAACACTCTCTAGGGCTGGGGATTTAGCTCAGTGGTTCTGCTGCCTGCCTTGCAAGCACAAGGTCCTGAGTTCCATCCCTGGTACCAAAAAAAAAAAAATCATAAAAAAAACACTCTCCTACAAATTTGTTAATCATAAAGTGGGAAAGAAAATAAGATTAATTAACTGCTTTGTACTGTAACGAATACATACAACATGGAAATGTTCTGGGGAACAGCAGTAAGTTTTTCTTTTTCCTTCTGCACAATGAAGGAGCCAAGTAACCGGAAACAATTCAGGAAGATCTCCAAAGTACCTGGTACGTTCCCAGAGAGCAGCCTGTTGACAGATGAACTAACCAAGCTTACACAGGGCCATGAAAGTTAAATATCACACAGTTTTGTTCTAACATTTGTTCTACCCCAAACACTCAGCACTGACAAAACATCTCCAGTAAGCAGGATGGCTGTATTTGCTCAGAAGTAAATCACGGCTCAAAGCTCACTTGGTCAAGATAAAAACTACTGTTATTTCCTAAATTAGGGCCTAATAGATATTTGTCACCCTTGCTGGCAAAGTGTAAAAAAGTTCAACTACCAGTCTCACCTTCCTCTGGGTTCTGATTACAAGCAGAATGTCAGATGTCAGACTTACCAAACCTTTCCCCCCAATTATCTAAATTTTGGTTTATCTGAATTTGCAATCCAGTGCTCACTGCTTCTCATTTTTTTCTACTCCCTTTCATTTCCCCACTCCACATTTATTTATTACTTCAGACTGGAAAGGTAAAAAAGAAAATCTCCTTTTCTCACACACAAGTCATAAACAATAACAACAACAACAAAAACACCAGCCTATTCTAATACCCTGCCTCTATTCTCCATTTCATTGTGTGCTTTCCACTTCACTGCAGATTATTCATTACTATGAAACTTCCTATAGATATTATCATTTTGTGTTTGCCTCCCCGGGTTTTTCCATACTACACAGAACTGCTATATAACAATCATCTCTAAGAATGCTTTGAAATGATATGCTGTAGTTTTTTGCCACTGTTAGAAGTGAAATTGTTGAGCTGTATGGTAACACAATATCTAACACTTTTGCTCCTGTACTCTTGCTCTTTTAAAAATAATTTCCCATATCGGTAATAAGCAATCTCTTCTTAATTACTGGGTCATCATATCTGACTTTATCAAATACCTGAAGCTCATCCAAATTCTCATTTTCCAGAAAGGATTAACCATTCTCTTTCTCTTCATAAAGAGGCTCTTTGCACCTTTGGACTCGGACTGACCGATTTGTTTTTACCCTGTCAAGACTTTGTCCGGAGAGCCCTGTACATTGCACTTTCATAATACATAATTGAGTCAGGCCCTATGCTAAGTGCTTTAAATAGAGATTTCACTGACTATTATCCCGTAAGGTAGGCATTATTATTCGCATTAAGGAAAACACAAGAGAGAATTCTAGCCAGAAAGTAAGAGTCAGGTTTCCAAGGAGCAGCTGTATCTAATGCCAGAATCTGTGTGCTTGAGCTCTTATTAAACACTCAACTGCCAGACTCTTGGAGCACCAGATTAAATACTAATAAAAAAAAAATTCAACTTGGGCTCCCAAGAACCCTGGTGAATCAAAGCACTAAAACAGCTTTCTCAATATGCTTGCCTTGCAGGTTTGTAATCCTGGTCGCACAAGTTGTGTGCTTAAGGAGAAAAGTCTTCTCATCTAAATAGTTTTCCATGGCACAGAGAAAATGAATGTTACCAGCTCAGCTAGCAGAGATCCACTCTTAATCATGATCTAGGATAAGCACTGCTTGGTGTGGAAAATGGGGTGAATAAGAGAAGGTGGGAAGGCCCTGTGGAAAACTGGGATGACTCTCAGAAAGGTTGAGCAGAGGTTGTTCCACAGATGCAAATACCTTGTTAGTTGATCATGAACCCATTCTCTCCAGTGACATCTATTACTGCAAAATGCCAAGAATGCTTTTCTATCATTGAGTCCTCATTTTCTCTTATTGCCAGAACTCTAAATCATTGAGTAACCACCTTGACTGTCAAAACACTGTGAAGCAAAGCTTACAAGAATTAGAGGAGTTCCTTGTTGTTGTCATGGAGATATTTTTAAGAAAAGAAAAGAATCTGGCATATAAATTTAATTCTTATGATAAATAGAAATTTAGAACAATATTTAGAGCAATCTTAGAACAATTAGTATGAAACAGAAGACCAGTAATTCTTTTTTAAAAAGTTTCTACTGAATGAATGACTAATCAACAGATTGCAGAATATTTTTCTTTAATGCTCTTGAAAATACAGGGCTAATACATTTTTTGGAGGAAGGGAGGAATCTGAATTTTCTTGATGGTTGTGGTAAGTTGTGGTGGTTGCTTGATTGAGTCAACCTGAGTAAGAACAGCTCAATTAAACTGGCTCAGCAATTCCACACCCTAGGGTGGGGAAGACCCACCCCAGGGAGGCTTGTCACCTGGATGGTACAAAGGGGAAATGAAGAAGACTGCTTCTGTTTCTTTGAAGGAGCTCCAGTCTTCGCCTTCACCTCGGATGTCATCTCCTGGCTTCCAGTGCAGACTCTTCAGCCTTCCATCACAGACCCATTGGCTTCCTGATACACCCGTGCATAGGACACTGCAGTGAGCTCCAGACCTTCAACCGGATCTTTCGGTCCCCAGTGTGCAGACAGACGTTCTCATCCCGCTCTGTGGGTGGCCTTTGTAAAACAATCTTGAAAATTCTTATGTATCTGTATATTTCGTGTTATATCTGTTTCTCTAGGAAACACTGATACATAAGTTATCTGGGAGGGGGTAGAAATATATGTACAGATAAAGAAAACTGTCGTGACAAGGCCCCCATATTTGTAAACCTTAACAAAATAATTTTGTGTGAATATATAAAGGGCAAATCTCTTTATCATATGCAGAATTAAAATGCTTTAGAATGTTCTTTAAGAATGATGAACACAATTTAACATAACACACGTGTTTGTATGTGGTGGACAATTCAATGTTTTTTAAGATAGTCCCATATTTGTGCAAGCATCACTGTAACCAACTTTGGAATACTTTCAGTACCTCAAAAAGAAATCACGCAGACCCCTTAGCCAGCATTCCTCAATCTCCCCTGACCCTGCAGCCCTGCACAACTCTAATCTATCTTCTATCTCTATAGATTTTCCAGTTCTAGGTATTTCACATAAATGGAACCCTACAATATGTGGTCTTTTGTGTCTGGCATCTTCCATCTTCCACTTAGCACAATGCTCCATGCTCCTTTTTATTGCCAAATAATATTTTATGGACATACCACATTTGATGTATCTATTCACCACTTGGTAGACATCTGGGTTATTTCTACTTTTTGGCTGTGTAAATAATGTGGCTAGGAACATTCATGTATGCCTTTTCCTGTGAACATATATTTCCATTTCTCTTGGATACGTACTTCTAGGAGTAGAACCGTTGAGCCTTGTAGTAATTCTATATTTGACCTTTAAGGCATTGCCAAACTAGTTCCCACAGAGGCTGCACTATTCTACTATTTTGTCAGCAGTGTTGTAAGGTTCCAATTCTCTATCCTCACTAACACTTGTAGTTTTCTATTTTGATTCTAACTTCCTAGTGGGTGTGAAGTGCTACTTCATTGTTGTATTGATTTATATTTCTCTGCCAAATGTTTTCTTAAATTAAGTAAGAGGAAGGTTTACTTCTGGAGGTTCACAGTCTCCTGCCTGAGACTGAGGCCCTTGGGCATCCCCTGCTCAGCACCTCAGTCGGTGTTCTGAGGAACCTGCCCTCATGGCCACACTGGACCTCTGTAAAACAGGGTTCCAGAGAGGTGGGAGATGGAGGAGAGGTGAAAGGAAACAAAAGTGGATTCTCACTGGGAACCACAGAGTGGGAGAAGAGGCCCACTCCCTGGGTTCTTATGCTTGGCAGAAGTG